TGTTGCTCTGCAAGTGGGCTCTGCGTGGTGTTCTTACTGTCTTACTGAGACGGCGTCGTTACCTCCTTAGGGATGGGAACCGCGCTTCATCTCTGCCCAGGCTCCCGGCAGCTTCCCCTGGGTCCCTCCTCCCTTGTTCTGTCTTGCACCATGTCCTGCCTGGTAGAAACTTCCTCAAACCACAGATGTGCCGTGGCCAGCTGTTCTATTTAGCAGCGAGGTCCTAAAAGCCCTCGTAGAGCAGCTGGTGTTGGAGCAGGGGCTGGGGCAGGGACCCCAAGTATCCTCGTCTCCAGGGAGGTTCCCCCAGGAGGCTTCAGGTGCCGCCTCGGGACACAAAGGACAATTCAGACCCCCGAAGCCTCCTGGACCCTCCATTGCCCACAAGGCTCTGTCCCAGCCCCTTCCTCCAGCCCCTCCAGGCAGGTCTCATCTGTGTCTCTCTGGCTTCAGGAGGGATCAGGCCCCCACTGCCCTCTCTGGGCCTGGGGGAAGCCACATCCCTTCCCGAACCCGGGCCTCTCAGGGTGGCCTTCTCCGCCTCAGCGAAGAGCCACAGGCATTGAGGGTGATCTGGAAGGACCACTGCCCTGTGCCCCGGGGAAGGCTTGTCTTGGGCTCTGGAGGCGGAACCCAGCTGGCGGCTCCAGAGTTGGCTTTAGGTCTGTCGTTGATTTGCCTTTCTCAGTGTGAGTTCTCTTTGTAACACGACCCAGCTACCCGTGTGTCCCGCAGGCCGTCCATTCCTCTCCCGTGTCCCTGCACGGGGTGTGTCCTGGGTGGTCCCGGAGGCATATTCTAGGCCTGGCTCCTGGGTGTGGTGGAAGCTGTCTGTCCCAGGCCCGTGCAGGGTTGTCCCTGCAAGCACACAGCTCCAGGAGTGCCCCACTCAGGATCCTCCAGCTCTCTCGCCTGAAGCAGAAATGTGACGTGGAAACTGTCCTCTATAGAAGGGAGGGGAAACCCAGGCCTGGGGTGAGCTGCTGCAGTGCCTCAGCCCCTCTCAGCCTCCAGTCGTGGGGCACAGGCATCTGATTCTTAACACATCCGTGGGTCGCCGCTGTCCGCCTCTGCTGCCCGCACCGGCAGCTGGGGAGTGGGAATGGGGGCTGACCGAGGCCTGGGGTACTTCCCCCAGAAGGAGCGATTTCTTGTTTCCTGCAATTGAACTGGGGGTCCCTGTCAGGGAGCAATGGGGTCCCCTCAGCTTCCTGCTCTCTGTCATTGCTGCAGGAGACACGTCTGGATGTGTACGCTGCCATTTTCAGCTAAGGGTCAGAGAATGTTTCCATGGACTCCTGGCATCAGACATGAGATTCTTTTTTTTTTTTTTTTTTTTCCTTGCTCTGTCACCAGGCTGGAGTACAGTGGCACAATCTCAGCTCACTGCAACCTCCACCTCCTGGGTTCAAGCAATTCTCCTGCCTCAGCTTCCCAAGTAGCTGGAACTACAGGTGCCCATCACTACGCCCAGCTAGTTTCTTGTATTTTTAGTAGAGACAGGTTTTCACCATGTTGGCCAGGATGGTCTTGATCTCCTGATCCACCCGCCTGGGCCTCCTAAAGTGCTGGGATTACAGGCATGAGCCACCGCGCCTGGCTCGGATGTCTTGATTAGATATTCAGATGGCTCCAAGGCCCCTCTCTGTGCAATCCCCAAGGCCAGGACCCTGGCTATGGAGCTGAGTGTCCCGTGCCACCACATCCAGGCACCCTCAGAGCACTTCACAGGCTTGAGCGGCTGTGGCTCCAGTGGCCTCTGCTCCCCACTTCCCTCAGCTGCAGGCCTGGTATGAGGCCTTGGCATTGGGGACCTGGTACCAGGCACAGCCCCATGGCCGAGGCCTGCCTGCAGAGGACAGCTGAATGGGGCTTATTGAGAGACAGGCTGCTCCAAGGGCTGGAGGAGCCATGTGAACAAACACACGTGGTCCCTCAGCCAAGGTGGCTGGAGAACCTCAGAAAGTGCGGTGTCATACCTGTCCCAGTGGGAGTGACACCAGGATCCAGCGGCCCAGGCCAGGTTCAGTGCTGGGGCAGGGATGGAGAGGCCACCCTCCTCTCTCCCTGTTTTTTTAGCCAGGCTTTGCCAACCTTCATTATTTTCACTTGAAATCCTTTTGGGAATGACAGCCTTTCCGGTGGGTGTTACTCCCTGAGGTTGAGAAATAATTTTGGTGTTTTTGAGACGAGGTCTCGGTCTGTCGCCCAGGCTAGAGTGCGATGATCATAGCTCACTGCAGCCTCAAACTCCTGGGCTCAAGCCGTCTTCCTGCCTCAGCCTCCTGAATAGCCAGAACAATGGGTGTGCACTACCATGCCCGGCTAATTTTTAAAATTTTAAAACATTACTTATTTATTTTTAGAGACAGGGTCTTGCTGTGTCATCCAGGCTGGAGTGCAGTGACACGATTATAGCTCACTGTAGCCTCAAACTCCTGGGCTCAAGCCATCCTTCTGCCTCAGCATCCCGAGTAGCTTGGGACTACAGGTGCATGCCACCATACTTGGCTAATTTTTTAAATTGTTTGTAGAGATGGAGTCGTCACTATGTTGCCCAGGCTAGTTTTGAACATCTGGGCTCAAGTGATCCTCCCACCTCAGCCTCCCAAATTGCTGGGCTTACAGGTATGAGCCTTCGAGCCCAGCAGAAGAATTTTCTATGATCTTTTGCAAAATCATTGCTAGGAACAGGAGTGGGTCCCTGCTGCACATGCTGGGCCATCACCGTTTGTCATGGAGCAGGCGGGGATTCCCCTTGCTGGTCTTTAGGATGGATGGAGGAGCCCACCTGCCACCTCATGGGCCTCAAATGAGATTTTCCAAGGTGAGCGGCCGTTCCCCAGCCTGTGGCCGGAAATCAGGGTGTATCTGAGTGACAGCTCAGCTCAGTGGTCCCCAACAAGGTCTGAATCTCAGTTCTTCCCACTGAGTCCCAGGGGACGTCCAGTGGCTTTGGGTCTGGGGCCAGGTGCCCAGGTGCGATGCTGGCCACGTCGTCTGCAGCTCCCCCGGCCACGAGGCCATCCTGCCTTGACAGGGAGGTGTTTGATTCCCAGAGGCCTTTGACAAAGCTGATTTTGGGGGCTGTGTGCTGTTATCAGTCAAAACCTTTCCCCTTCTCGGCTTTTTTTTTTTTTTTTTTTTTTGAGACAAAGTCTCACTCTGTCGCCCAGGCTGGAGTGCAATGGAATGATCTCAGCTCACTGCAACCTCCACCTCCCGCATTCAAGCGATTCTCCTGCTTCAGCCTCCTGAGTAGCTGGGACTACAGACACGAGCCACCACGCCTGGCTAATTTTTGTATTTTTAGTAGAGACGGAATTTCACCATGTTGGCCAGGATGGTCTCGATCTCTTGACCCCGTGATCCAAAGTGCTGGGATTACAGGCATGAGCCACCACGCCTGGCCTCACTTTACTTTTAAGCTTGAGTTTTGTATTTTGGGTTCAGAATTAAATTCAGAAAAAAATTTCCCCGTGACTGTTTCCTACCTCGATCGAGCCATTTGTGGGTGTGTTCATTTAAGTTTCGACACATGCAGAACTTAACCTGTGTGTGCTGTATTTGAGGAGTCTGTTGGATGAGAGAGCAGGAATTCCAGATCAGAGTCCTTAGCACTCTGTGTGGCTGACGCTGAGTCATCCCTGAAAAAGCCCCAGACCTGAACTGATCATTCATGTCAGTTGCCAGGTTTTTCTCAGCCACAGGGCTTTTTTCATTCATCCTCCTGCTCCATCCAAGAAATGTTTCTCAAGCCCCTTTCAGTGCAGGCAGGGCTCCTACCTAGTAGGAGAGACAAATTGCAAACTCGCATCACCGTTCTGGGCGTGGGGGCTGCCCTAGGAGCGAGGGCAGGAGGGCAGCGTGGAGGAGGTGGCCTCGGAGCCTAAGTTTGGAGATCTGAGAGAGTCTTGTGCCTGGACAGTTAGAGAAGGACATTCCAGTCAGAGGAAGCGGCAGCAAAGTGGGAGGAGGAGAGTGGACCTTCTGGAGGGTTATGGGTGGCCTGCAGAGCAGGGCAGCAGGGAGCGCCCTGCTCACCATGGGGGCTCTAAGTCGGTTGAGGCGGGGATGTCAGCATCACAGGTGGGGCCTTTTGTGGGATGGGGCCAGGTGGGTGCCCACGTGCTCAGGACAGTGAGAGCTCTTTCTCTCGGGTGGGTTCTGCACCCGTTCTTCATGTCCTCATTGATTTTATCTGAACACCTATAATAGAAATCATTTTCAGAAGCAAAACATCGCCGTGGTTTGCTCACCAAATTGTGCCTGAGTGAGTTAGGGAAGCAGGCCAGGGCGCACTCCTCAGCCACCGGACGCAGCCCACGTCCACGGCCCTGACCACACCTGCAGCCAGGGGTGTCGGTCACTCCTGACAGTCGGTGATCGCTCTAGCCTGGGAGGGAGAGGGGACGAGGGCTGGGGCGTCTCAGTGGCTCAGGGGGAAACCACAGGAGCCAGCTCTTCCTGAGGGCAGTGCCTCCAGGAGAGCCACCTGCCACAGAGCCCTCATCCGCAGGGCGATGGCACCTCCAGGGCCCCTTTCCAGCATCTGCCTCTGACCACAGTGGGTTGTCCCAGGCCCAAGCCTTTTCCCATGGCGCCACCTTGTGGACACCTGCACACAGGCCAGCAGCCTGCAGAGGCTACCTGCCCCAGGTGTAGCTGCGTGGGGGCAGCTGAGGAGGGGCCTCCACAGAGCTTCCTCACCAGGTCCTGCCCTGGGCCCTGCACAACGCCAGGAGGAGGGCCCATGGCGCTCTCAGCCCCTGAGCAGAAGTCACCGCTGGGAGGAAACATGTCTGCCGTTTCCAGCATCTTGTCCCTGACGCTGTGTGACTTTGGACTTTTCTGAGGGCGGGGCAGTGTGATGGCATTTACGATTGGAAAGTGCGGGTTTCTCCCCTACAGCCCCACCCTCCCAGTAGGTCCTGAAAGTCCTGTGCCCCTCGGGGACCCCCTTTTCAGAGCCATGAGCTTACAGTGTCCTCTCTTCTCAGTGTCCCCAACTCCTGCCCAGCTAGTCCACGAGGCGCCGGCTCCTCCAGTTACCGCTTTGTGCAGAATGTGACCTCGGACCTGCAGCTGGCAGCAGAGTTTGCAGCGAAGGCCGCATCGGAGCAGCAGGCAGATACGTCTGGAGGAGACAGCCCCAAGGTCAGAGCCCCCCTACCCCCGGTGCCGTGATGCACATTGGTGACCAGGATTGGATCGGGCTGTAGTGACGCGGCGTGGGTGGCAGTGCGCTCAAGGCAGTCTTGACCCACGAGGAATGCAGCCGAAGTTGGCGGTAGAGCCATTGGCCCTTTCTCCTTTTCATGCCCAAATTGTCCTTGTTGGCCATTTGCTGGTGACGGGTGGCGCTGACACCAGAGCCCCTCCCGCTCCACTCCTTGTTCATCTGCCACTGGCAGCCCGGCTTCAGAGCCTTCCCACAGCCCTTGAGAAGGATGGCGCCCTCCTTATAACTCTGTCTTAGTTCATTTCTGTCCAACAGCTATTTTAAAATCCATTTGTGGAAGAGGTGAGAAATTTCAGAATTAAATTATGATAAAAACAGAAGTTTTCCTTCCCACGAGGCAAAAAAAAACGGCTGTTCCTAGTTTAATGTGAGCCCCTTAACGGGATCATTGGAGGGCACTGGGATTGTCGAGATGAGTGTGTCCTCGGGGGAAGGTCCCTCTCCATCAGCAGTGCTGGGCAGGTGGGGTGGACCGGGGGACCTTGCCGGAGCTCACCTGTGAGCCGTGTCTCTCTGCAGGACGAGTCCAAGCCGCCGTTCTCCTACGCGCAGCTGATCGTGCAGGCCATCTCCTCCGCCCAGGACCGGCAGCTGACCCTGAGCGGCATCTATGCCCACATCACCAAGCATTACCCCTACTACCGAACGGCCGACAAAGGCTGGCAGGTGAGGCAGGCCTTGGGCCCAGAGTGCCTCCAAACGCCCCTAGAACACAAAACTAACAGGCACGTTGCTTCCCTGAAAATAGAAAAGAGGGCAGTAAGGGGGCTCATGCCTGGAACCCCAGCACTTTGGGAGGCCAACGCAGGAGGAGGATCAAGACCAGCCTGGCAACATAGCGAGAGCCTCTTTTCTTCTCAAGATTAGCTGGGTGTGCTGGTGCACGCCTGTGGTCCCAGCTACTCAGAGGCTGAGGTGGGAGGATCACTTGAGCCCGGGAGGTGGAGGCTGCAGTGAGCTGTGATCGTTCCGCTGTACTCCAGACTGGGAGGCAGAGCAAGACCCTATGTCTAAAAAGAAAAAAAAAAATTAAGTAATAAAATAAAAGAGAGGTATTTTCCCAGACTAAGAAGATGGGGACATACCTTGTTAGATTCTGTGCTTGCTGTGCCTTACAGTCTCATCCTAAGTTGGAAATGCACCGTATACTGTTAATAAAACCGCGCACGTCTGAATTGTGGATGGGATTATAAGAGCTTTGTTCACACCAGCCATGACTGACACGTGTTGCATTTGCCTGTATTTTCTCCAAAGTCAGTATAGCCCATCCACGAGTTTTGTTTTTTAGTTTTTGTTTTGTTTTGTTTTGTTTTTTGACAGGATCTCATTCTGTTGCCCGGCTGAAGTGCAGTGACGCAATCTCTGCTCACCGCAACCTTCACCTCCCAGGTTCAAGCGATTCTCCTGCCTCAGCCTCCGGAGTAGCTGGGATTACAGGGACCCACCACCATGCCCAGCTATTTTTTGCACTTTAGTAGAGATAGGGTTTCACCATGTTGGCCAGGCTGGTTTTGAACTCCTAACCTCCGGCGATCTACCCGCCTCAACCTCCCAAAGTGCTGGGATTACAGGCCTGAGCCATCTTGCCCAGCCAAGACCCAGTGTTTTTTGTTTGTTTGTTTTTTGTTTTGTTTTTGTCCCAGACGTGCTCCTAGACCAGGATCAGTCTTTCTCTTTCACTTTTTCTGTAAAGAATGGTAATGACAGCCAGGCACAGTAGCTTACACCCATAATCCCAGCACTTTGGGAGGCCAAGGTGGGAAGATGGCTTAAGCCCAAGAGTGTGAGACCCTGTCTCAACTAAAAACAAAAAATCAACCAGGCATGGTGGCCCACACCTATAGTCCCAACTACTCAAGAGGCTGAGGCAGGAGAATCCCTTGAACCCAGGAGGCGGAGTTTGCAGTGAGCCAAGATCATGACACTGTACTCCAGCCTGGGCAACAGAGCGATACTCCTTCTTAAAAAAAAAAACAAAAAAAAACAAAAAAAAAACAGACGGTAAAATGGTAATGATGCTGTGTCAGATTGTGATAGGCACGTCCTGCACCCCACATCTGCTCCCGCGCAGCACCGAGGGCTCTTCACAGCGGGACGGCCTCCCCTCGCCCTGGTCCCACCTATGTTGCAGATCTGGGGCAGGTGGGACTCAATTTCTGACTTGCTGATGACGGGTGAATATCTCTGCTTCCCTGCAGAATTCTATCCGACACAACCTCTCTTTGAACCGTTACTTTATTAAAGTCCCGCGTTCCCAGGAGGAGCCTGGGAAGGGGTCTTTTTGGCGTATAGACCCTGCCTCTGAAGCCAAGCTCGTGGAACAGGCATTCCGGAAACGGAGGCAGAGGGGCGTCTCCTGCTTCCGCACCCCCTTCGGGCCTCTGTCCTCAAGGTAAAGCTCTCTGTGTGGCTGTCCTAGAGCTGTTAGGAGAGCCGGGCTGACGTGGAGTTTAGGGATGCATGGCACGGTCGGCCCTCCCCCTCCCTAGCTGCGGCCTCCATAGCTGCAGGCTCAGTGTCTGGGCATGCAACTAATCACAGGTCAAAAATAGTCCCAAAAAAAGGCTAGTGTGGTGGCTCACACCTGTAATCCCAGCGCTCTAGGAGGCCGAGGCTGGGTCACCTGAGGTCAGGAATTGACCAGCCTGGTCAACATGGTGAAACCCCATTTCTACTAAAAAAAATACAAAATTAGCCAGGCATGGTGGTGGGCACCTGTAATTCCAGCTACTTGGGAGGCTGAGGCAGGAGAATTGCTTGAACCCAGGAGGCAGAGGTTGCAGTGAGTTGAGATTGCACCATTGCACTCCAGCCTGGGTGATATGAGCAAAACTTTGGCTAAAAAAAAATATTTTCAAAAAAAAAATAATACAAATGAAACAATACACACTACAATAGCCATTTACATAGCATGTACATTGTGTTAGGTATTCTAAGTACCCTGGATATGATTTAAAGCTTACGGGAGGATGTACGTAGGCTGTATGCAAATACAACACCATGTACATGAGGAACTTGGTTGAGCGTCTGCAGATTCGTCAGCTGCAGCACCCTCCCCTCAAATACTGAGGGTGACTGCTCTTTTTGGCACTTAAAGACTCACCATTTTGTTTTGTTTTGTTTCTGTTTTGAGAGAATATCTCAGGACCAGGAATTATGAAAATAGTAATGTTACTCAGTAAGCCACTGACTATTCTACTAATAATAACATATTAGTCCTTAGAAGCAGAAATACGGGCGCAGTGGCTCACACCTGTAATCTCAGCTCTTTGGGGTGCCAAGGTGGGCAGATCACGAGGTCAGTTCGAGACTAGCCTGGCCAACATGGTGAAACCCTGTCTCTACTAAAAGAAAAATTAGCCTTTACTAAAAACTAGAAAAATTACAGGCATGGTGGCAGACGCCTGTAATCCCAGTTACTCAGGAGCCTGAGGCAAAGAATTGCTTGAACCCGGGAGGAGGAGGTTACCGTGAGCTGAGATTGCGCCACTGCACTCCAGCCTGGGCAACAGAGCAAGACTCCATCTAAAAAAAAAAAAAAAGAAAAGAAAGTGGAAATGTGTGTAGCAGTGGGAACAGTTCCTAAGGCCAGGAGTAAATGGCTCGCGGCTGGCGGTGCTTTTGGTGGCTCCGAGCTTTCTGCTGCAGTGAGAGAGGACCCAGGAAGAGCCAATCTTTGAAGGGACAGACTCGGGGTATGACTTGAGGAGCCCACAGCTGCCTTTGCTTTTCACAGATGTTGGGGAACGTGGCTCTGCTGCAGGTGGCGGGGGGAACAGACCCTCCCCCGGCCTCTGCCACCTGCCTGGTGGTTCAGGGCCACCCCTGCCCAGCTCTGTCCTGGCTAGGCCCAGTCTGGAGGAGCCTGGGTGCCTGTGAGCAGCCTGGGTGGCTCTTCCCAAGGTTGCCAATCAGATGAGCCCATTCTAGTGTGGGGGGAGGAGATCTCCCAAGAGGCCCTCTCGGAAATCCTTCCCTGTGGAAGGACACATTAGCATCTCACGCTTCCATTTCAAAATTCTGTTTCCCACACGATTTGATAAAAGATTGAAATATCTGGCCGGGTGTGGTGGCTCACGCCTGTAATCCCAGCACTTTGGGAGGCCAGGGCGGGCAGATCACCTGTGGTCGGGAGTTTGAGACCAGCCTGGCCAACATGGAGAAACCTCTTCTCTACTAAAAATACAAAAATTAGCCAGGCATGGTGGCGAATGCCTATAATCCCAGCTACTCAGGAGGCTGAGGCAGGAGAATCACTTGAACCTGGGAGGTAGAGGTTTCAGTGAGCTGAGATCACATCACTGCACTCCAGCCTGGGTGACAAGAGTGAAACTCCTCGAAAGGAAATAAGGGAGGGAGGGAGAGAAGAAAGGGAGGGAAGGGAAAGGAGGGATGGAGGGAGGAAGGAAGGAAGGGAGGGAAGGATTGAAATATCTGAAAATTAATTTCGGGCATAGGGTCTGGCATGGTGGTTCTCAGGTGAACTGGGTGTATGGTTAAGGTAGGAATTCAAAAAAGTGAACGTCGTTTGGAAGATTACAGCAGAGCTCAGCTTTTCCAGAACACAGCATCACCTAAATGGAATGTGGAGAGAAATTTTGTTGCACCGTTAGGTTGCTAGGGCTGTTGAAACAAGCACCGCACACTGGGCGGCTTACACAAATGACGTCTGTCTCAGCCCTGGAGGGAGGCTGGAAGTCCAAGGTCAAGGTGTCGGGAGGGCTGGGTTCCTCTGAGCCTACGGGGAGTCTCCCAGGCCTCCACCATGGCTGCCCACGGTCTCTGGTGCTCCTTGGCCTGTGGGCACATCACCTCGACCTCTGCTTCATCGTCAAGTGGCACTGTGATCTGTGTGTGTCTGGGTGCAAACTTCCCCTTCATATGAGGACACTAGTCATCGGATTCGAGTCCATTTGAATGACTGGCATTTTGACTTGATCACCTCTGTTAGACCCTGTCTCCAAATAAGGTCACATCCTGCAGTACTGGGGGTTAGGACTCAGTGTGTCTTCTCTGGGGGACAGTTGCCAGTGTCATTGTTCACCTGTAGGGCAGTCTGTCAGCCAGCGGAAGTGGCTGGGAATTGCTTTGTGTGCCCAGTGCTGTTCGGGGAGCTGTGTGTGAGGAGAGCCTGCAGGGAGGGCAGGGTCCCATTTTCAAGGTCACCCTTGGAGTTGTGGAAGCAGATGTGCTGATAGAATCTGCGTGGGTGATGGGAGGAAGGAGGACCCTCCAGGCCAGGAGGATGGCACAGCCAGAGCTGGGTCTTCCGTAGGGGGAGGAGGCTGGCTTGACTTGCAGAGGCTGGATGGGTTTAAAGGGAGGCAGGTCATAGGGAAGGGGGTGATTGGTGGAGGAAGGGGAGATTAGAGAGGGCCCTGATAGGTTGTTTGGCCTCTTTGGTAAGAATGAGAGCCATGGCAGACTCGAGAACTGGGGAGCAGCCTTGGCCACACGGGTCTAGGACCGAATCAGCTGAGCACTGGAATCAGCGGGCAAGGCCTCCAGGCCCAGGATGAAGAGCAGACGGGGAGCGAAGAGCAGACGGGGAGCTAAGTGGTCTGGAAGAGACCGCAGAGCAGCAGGGAGGGGAGGGACGCCCCAGGCCTCTGCCCGAGGAGCCCAGGAAGGGCCCAACACAGCTACCAGCAGTAGACACAGTATACACAAAGTGACCAAGTGTATTTGTAACACAGTGAAGACTCTGGCTGGACACAGTGGCTCATGCCTATAATCCCAGCACTTTGGGAGGCTGAAGCAGAAGGATTGCTTTGAGGCCAGGAGTTTGAGACCAGCCTGGGCAACCTAGCAAGATCCCTGTCTCTCCAACAAAAAAAAAATTTTTTTTAAAGACTGGTTCCTTACCCCAGGCGCCTCTGGTGGGTTCCAGCTTCCTGCCTCTCTGGGTCTCTGCTGAAACCTGCTTTGTGTGCACAGCGGCCTGGGTGGGCTAATGTCCTGCTGCACGTGTGTGCTGGGTGGTCCCAGAGAAGAAAGCTGACTGCTTCCAGGCCTGGGTCTCGGCTGCGTCGCAGTCACCCACACCAGCCCCTCGCGGGTGGCACCTGGCAGGAATGCTGTATTGTAGAACCCGGGTCTCTATCATAGAACCCGGGACTTTATTGTAGAACCCAGGTCGATGGTGATGGGGAGTGGGCAGGGGGAGCAGGATGGGGAGCGGGCGGTGATTTCAGGGGGCAGGGTGAGTGTGCTTGGATTGTTGGTTGTTGAGGAAACAGTTGTGCTCCCGAAGCTCGTTTTACTCTCAGGGTAGCGTTTTCATGGTGTAACGCTTGTGCCCACCAAACAGAAGCTTATGTGTTTTGATATAAAAGGTCTGAGCCATTTTCATAGACAACTGGCTGGCCGTGGTGGAAGTGAACATTGTGGGGTGTCTTTTCAGATAACACCGCTCCCTCCCATTGAACGGAGCCTCCCTGTGCAGCCCCCCTCAAATGGAGTTTTAAACGCTGGGTTCAGGTTACAGGGGGTGGGTCTCACTGCCTGAATGGGGAGGACGGAGATGAGCTCCAGGGAGCGTGGGTGGGTGACGGAGTGACACTGGTGACACTGAGCTGCGTGATGTCTCGGAAACGTCCTCCCGTCCCTCAGCACGGGCAGGCGCTGACTGCCGAGGCCCTTCCCTCTTCTCCAGGAGCGCTCCAGCTTCACCCACACACCCCGGGCTGATGTCCCCTCGCTCCAGCGGCCTGCAGACCCCAGAGTGCCTGTCTCGGGAGGGCTCCCCCATTCCACACGACCCCGACTTCGGGTCCAAGTTAGCTTCTGTCCCAGAGTACCGGTATTCCCAAAGCGCACCTGGTAAGGAGCGGGCGGCCCTCTTGTGGGGCGGGACGGGACTCTCGGGGCACAGGAGGGGTCACTGTCCACTCCGCACCCTCCGTGCAGGCTCCCCCGTCAGCGCCCAGCCAGTGATCATGGCCGTGCCACCCCGACCATCCAGCCTCGTGGCCAAACCCGTGGCCTACATGCCCGCCTCCATCGTGACCTCACAGCAGCCCGCAGGCCATGCCATCCACGTCGTGCAGCAGGCCCCCACCGTCACCATGGTCAGGGTGGTCACCACGTCCGCCAGCTCGGCCAACGGATACATCCTCACCAGCCAGGGCTCAGCAGGGAGCTCCCACGATGCAGCGGGCGCAGCTGTGCTGGACCTGGGCAGCGAGGCCAGAGGTAATGCGGCCGTGGCCGGCAGCCTTCACAGGACTCTCCGTGGTGGTCCCAGCCAGCAGGTCCTGAAGGCAGCGCCATCGGCCTGGGCCTGGGGCTTGAGGAGGATGATTCTCTGCCTCTGCCTCTTGCTGCCATGTCCTTTTAAATCAGCATGAGCCAGGTGCGGTGGCTTACACCTGTAATCCCAGCGCTTTGAGAGGCCAAAGCAGGTGGATCACTTGAGGTCAGGAGTTCAAGATCAGCCTGGCCAACATAGTGAAACCCCGTCTCTAATAAAAATACAAAAATTAGCTGGGCATGGTGGTGCGCTCCTGTAGTCCCAGCTACTTGGGAGGCTGAGGCAGGAGAATCGCTTGAACCCTGGAGGCGGAGGTTGCAGTAGGCAAGATTGTGCCACTGCACTCCAGCCTGGGTGACAGAGCCAGACCCTATCTCACACACCAAAAAAAAAAAAGCATGACTGTCCACAGATGCGTCCTTCCTTGTTGAATATGCCCTCGGATGCATGCAGCTGTGTCCTTGCCTTAAGGTAACATTGAATTAAGTTGTGCTGTGGCCTTGCATAAATTTGGAATTTAGTATTTTCTACAGGAGAAAGAATGAGCCTGGAAAGACTGTTCTTTTCTATTCCCTCATAAGGAGACTTTAAAAGTCATTTAGGGAAAAGATAGTTCTGAATTGCTAAAAGGAATCTGATCCCAGGGCTTGACTGGGTAGATACTGAACATACAGCTGACCCCCACCCCCATAAGACCCTCTCTGGAACACCTTCAGATGGGCAGCATCCTCTGACTTCGCTCACCTCCCTTGACTTCATCTCGGTGGTGCTTTTTGCTTCAGTACTGCCATAATACTGAAGGAAGGCCAAGGTACAGCTCTGATCAGATCATTTCATTCCCAGTAATACATTTGCTTTCTCAGACCGAATTTGGGTTGGTTAAAGCTAAGTCTAGGCTGGGTGTGGTGGCTCATGCCTGTCATCCCAGCACTTTGGGAGGCCGAGGCAGGCAGATGACAAGGTCGGGAGTTCGAGACCAGCCTGGCCAACATGGTGAAACCCTGTCTCTACTAAAAATGAAAAAATTAGCTGGGTGTGGTGGTGCGCACCTGTGATCCCAGCTACTCGGGAGGCTGAGGCAGGAGATTCCCTTGAACCCCGGAAGTGGGGTTACAATGAGCCGAGATTGTGCCATTGCACTCCAGTTGGGTGACAAGATCAACAAAACCCTGTCTCAAAAAAATAAGTAAAATACGACTTTAAAACCCTAGCAGTTGTTTTATTCCCAAACGTACTTCACCCATGAGATTTCCCTCTGGTGAACCCGTTTTTCCCAGCGCCGACCTCACTCCCCCACTTGGCCAACTTGCTGCCCAGGCATTGAGGAAATCGATTGTCTTGTTGGCTGAGTATGGTGCTAACTTGGTTCCTGTCCTGCAGGCCTAGAGGAGAAACCCACCATTGCGTTTGCCACAATCCCGGCAGCCAGCGGAGTCATCCAGACGGTGGCCAGCCAGATGGCCCCCGGCGTCCCCGGACACACAGTCACCATCCTGCAGCCTGCCACACCCGTGACCCTCGGCCAGCACCACCTTCCAGTCCGGGCCGTCACTCAGAATGGAAAGCATGCGGTTCCCACAAACAGCTTAGCCGGCAACGCTTACGGTGAGGCCCTGCCCCGTTCCCGGCGCCACCTCCCAAGCTCTGTGGCTCCTGGTAGTCAGTGCAGCATGAGAACATTTCTCCAGTATTGCCCAATCCTCCTCACAGTTCAGTTTATTGAGCACCTGCTGTACTCCAGGCCCTGGGACAGCACTAAGAAAAGAGGGTGGAAGGGGCCGGGCTCTGTGGCTCACACTTACCATCCCAGCACTTTGGGAGGCTGTGGCAGGCAGATCGCTTGAGCCCAGTTCAAGACCAGCCTAGGCAATACAGCAAAAGCCCATCTCTACTACATAAGACTCCAAAACTTGGCCAGGTGTGGTTTCGCACACTTGTGGTCCCAGCTGCTCAGGAGAGTGAGGCTGTAGTGAGCTGTAATTTTTCTGCTACATGCCAGCCTGGGTGACAGAGTGATACCCCTGTCCCTTTTTTTAAAAAAAAAAAAAAAGGAAAGAAGGTGGAAGGAAAGCCCAGATCTGCCCACTGACTGTCTGGAGTTCACACTCCATGGGGTGAGGCAGGAGGTCAGAGAAGGAAGGAGGAGAGCTGGGGTGCAGGAACCCAGGGGCACCAGGGCACCGGGCGGGGTGCAGGAAGCCAGGGTGCTGGGTGGGGTGTCAGTGGGATAGCTCAGGGCGATGCATCTGTGTAAAGGAGTGGGGCGACCCATTGATGTCCCCCACGATCCAGACGCAGCAATGAGAGGGGCTTCCACCCAGCCAAGGACAGGACAGACCTGGTGGGGAGGGGACAGCAGGGCCCACGGGGTGCACTCAGCTCCCCTGCTCGGTGGCTTAGCCCCTGTGTAGGTGACTTGGGCCTCTATTCAGAAAAAGACAGCTTGGTTCCAACCAGACCCTAGAGTAACCCTCTTCCTCCACTCCAGCCCTCACCAGCCCTCTGCAGCTCCTTGCAGCCCAAGCAAGTTCGTCCTCACCAGTGGTGGTCACCCGGGTATGCGAGGTGGGGGCCAAGGAGCCAGCAGCAGCTGTCGCAGCCACAGCCACCACCACCCCAGCCACTGCCACCACCGCCTCTGCCTCCGCCTCCTCCACTGGAGAGCCTGAGGTCAAAAGGTCTCGGGTGGAGGAGCCCAGTGGGACGGCGACCACGCCGGCTGGAGTGATCGCAGCCGCCGGCCCCCAGGGGCCGGGCACCGGGGAATGAGATCACCTGCACGCGGGGGAGTGGGACTCACCCAGCGGCGACCCCAGAGCTGGACCCAGCAGCACAGGCGGCCGCACCCACGGACGGAGGACAGCCCACAGCAGCCTGCGGGCATCGGCGGCACCTGGACACACCCAGCCCTTTCCATGTTATCGCCTGTCCTCCCGTGGTTTAAAACAAAAACATAAACAAGTTCAGACAACTGATTGTATGATTCTGGGAATTCTTTGCTTTCATGCCCTTCGCCTCTCCCCAGGCCTCCCTGTCAGGCGTGGGGAGGAGGCTGTAGTTCAGCATCTCGAGGAATGTGTCAAGATAGCTCTGCCCGCTCCACGCTACATGGCCAGCCGCCTTTGTCCTGGGAGGACGGACAGAGGCGCAGCCAGGCACACCCTGAGGCTACGGGGGAAGCCCAGGCGCGGACAGAGGCCGGCTGGGGAAACCAGGAACTGCTGCCACGCCACGGACCGTCTAACAGCCTCCGCCCAGAGCGTGACAGAGAGAGTGTGGGCATTAACCCAGGGAGTGTCCGCTTTCACTTCGGACCTCAAGTTTTTCTTTGTTTAAACCTGGAATTCAGACCTCATTGTACACCTGAGGCAGACACAAAAGGGATCATCTGTTTTTGAGGATTTCCCCTGCTGGTGGTCTGACGACTGGCCGCGGTCCGGAGTTCCCGCTGGCGTTCATCCTCTCGGAGGGTAAACCTGCTCTGTCTGATAACTTCAAGTAAGAGCCACAGCTTCCCGGATTGGCATTCACCATGGAAGGTTCCACGGATGAAAGATGGCCCTGGATCCGCCGGCTGCAGGCCAGACCTTCCGGAATCCTCCCGTGGCTCCGATGCCCCAGTGCTGATGGCCACAGGGGACCCGACATGCCAAGCGCCACCTGCTCAAGCTGCTGTTTCACCCAGTCACAGTGTCCTTACCACTCCCACCTTGCTCTGCTGTTTTCAGCTGGAACCGTTTCTCCTGCCCGAAGCTGCAGAGGCCCTCCCTGGTCCGTCATGAGCAGAAGGGAGGCCCCACCCCAGCAGCAGCAGCTCCTGCACCTCCACACCTGGCCGGGCGACTCCACTGGTTTTGTTGACATGGTGAGAACCCGAGGAGGATGGGATGCTGCAGCCAGTAGGGCGGCTCCAGGGTCCCTGAGGAAGGCTGCCCTGCACGTCCATCGAGACGGCCAGGGGCACCTGGAGCTTTGTCACTGAGCAGCATTGAGCCAGAGCTGTCTAACGTTGTGCCCAGCTCGGGGAGCGGGGAGTGAGGAGTCCTTCCGTGTGTCTTGAGAGGTGTGAGGTGTCCCCATAAAGGTCAGCTGTCAGTTTTGCTGGCCGCTCCAGCGCCGGCCCTCCTGTTGGGGACCACAACAAGAAACAGTGCAGATTCGACACTGAGCTCCAGAAATGCCAGAGGAGCGGTGTTTCTGGGGATCAACCATCCTCCCATCACAGCCTCTCACCAGCAATGCAGCCTCAGCAGGAGAGCCACAGAGGCACCCAGGTGCCTGGAAGGCATCTGACGGAGGTGGCTGGGCATGTGTCTCCCTGAAGAAGAAAGGAGAATGCTTTCCAAAGCGATTTCAAGGCAGTGCAGGAGCGGTGTGCTGTGTGGCGGAGTGGGGGCGCCCGTGGCCCCATCGGAGTCCCCGACCCTAGGACAAGTGCAGAACTTCTGTGGGCCCCTCCTTCCACCCAGATAGAGAAAACCCCTGTTCTGTTTCCCTCCCCTGTTGCATTGTTTTTCTAAGCGCCCCCAAACGAGTTGTTTCTATGGCACTAACCTTTCCATGAGAAATAAGCTCTTTGTGGAAGTCCATACCTGTTGGCTTGGGTGAGGTTTCAGAGAAGTAGGGGCGAGACGAACACAGCCGGGCGTCCCAGGTGCAGTTCCGTCCATGGAGGGTGAGAGGTGGCACTCTGTGCCACATGCGCGGCTCCTGCTGTTGTCTGTGGGCCTTTTCTTTCCATGCTGCCTGGTGTGTGCGTGCGTGGCGTGAGGGAACGGGGCGTGGTGGTCAGAGATGTTCCCTGACACTGGTGCCTGCGTGGCCTGAGCCAGTGGCGTCAGTGGGGGCCTCTGTGATCGCCTGCTGCTGCCCTCTCCCCCATGGTGACCGTGTATCCCCAGGGCTGTGTGGCCACCCTCATGGGGGAGTTCTGTTTGCTTTTGAGCCACTGTAGATCGGCCTCTCTCTGCAAGCTGATGTCTGCAGGGAGCGCTGCGTGCCATGTGTTGGTCACAAAATATGAGGTAGCCTCTCACCCTGGTCTGCTCAGGCTAGCTTTGACCCACTTCCTTGCCCGGCTTTTGAGACGAGCACGTTCTTTCTGTTAGCGGTAGGATTCTCACCGATTTTACTGCTTCAATGCCGAGGGCGTGGAAAGGGGGTGGCGGGTGGTGCTGGGGGGTAGCGAGTGCAGGACCTCAGGGCTGCATCCTGCCGTGTGGGGGGTCAGTGCTATGTGGCTTCTGCGGCAACTGCAAAGAGGGACAAGGGGAGGTGGGCCTAGGGGTCAGCTCAGACGGAGCAGGGCAGGGAGAGGGCGGCTGGGTCCTGGACCCACTGCTCTGGGCTCATAACCATGAGATTTTGAAAGCGTTTTTGGTCATCATTGGAGCAGATACCATGCCTGGCTCCAGCCCTCCTGGTGTGCCCTGAGGCAGCCCAGCAAGTGCCTCCCAGCCAGGCTCATTCGCAGAAGCAAGAGCACAAGCCCAGGGAACCAGGAGAGCCTCAGCCCCGAGTCCCAGCCGCCTGTGACCCTGAGCTGTGGGCAGCCAGGAACCCGAGAACCTTCTCTAGGTTGTCAAGGCTGGGTTGACCCTAGCAATGTGCAGGAATGCAGGGAGCAAAAGTAACTTGATTCCAGCCCCACGTTAGGGTCACAGCAGAGGCTGAGGGCCCGCTCTCCTTTAACCAGGGGCTGGGGGCATGGTCCGTGGACAAGAACAGCAGGTCACAGTGGTGGCTTTGGGAAGGGCCCCTCCCACTTTGCCCTGTTCTGAAAGGGGCTCCCTCAGAGCCCATGGGCCCGGTAACCCACTTCTCTTTCCTGCTTCCTGCTCAGTAACTTGCCAGGTTTACCAAATAAAAGAAGACACCCGCTTTGGATAGGAGGTAAGTCCCAAAAGAAAACATCTGAAGTGGCTGAGCACAGGCATCCCACCGAGACCATCTGGTGGACCCTGAGAAGCAGGAAGGCAGGGCCTGAGTGTCCCCCAACTGCTAGGGCAGCAGGTGGCTCAGGGCACCCTCTCTCATGCCACCTTCTGCAACCAGCCCGGTGTCCACAGAGCAGCAGAGCCGGAGGAGCTCAGGGAGACCTGGCCGTGGAGGGCACGGTGCCCAGTGTCCCAGCGTGTGCCTGTCCTCAGCCACTTGTGTCTTTCCTACCGTGCAGACGTTCTCCCAGTGACACCTGGCCTCCGTGGAGGATGGGATCTGTCACTCATGCCTTTGAGGGACCCAGACAGAGCATCCCTCTTCTGCTCTTTCTACATTCCTAAAAACCTCAACGTCAGTCCCTCACCAGTCGGGCCGCAGCACCCCATCCTGTCCTCCTGGCTTCACGTTAGAGGCCGCGTGTGTGCTCTGAGTGAAATGAGACGCTGCTGTCGGGTCCCCATGCAGAGACCTTCGAGGCAGCGCTGGGAGACACTGGGGGGGACCATGACTGGGCAGACAGAGGCTTGTGCACCTCACACTCACCCCTCAGTTTCCCTCCCAAGGTCTGGTGGTTCCTCTTTGGGATTTGCTGTTTATTTGTATTTCCTCTCTTTGATTTAAGAACCATGCCAAGTGAAAAAGGTGGAGATGAGTTTCTGAGTTGCAGAGTGTTCCCTGATTCTAGGTACCACGCTTTGGGCTTCTCAAGCAGGGAGGGGACGGATTTGGTGGAGTTGGGCCAGGGTGGGGCGGCCTCGTCCTGCCCTCCAGACTGCCGGGACCCCAAGAAGTTTCAGCCCACCCGAACCTCGCCCCCCTGACTCCTGGGTCCGTTTCTGTACTGTTTGAGATCGCAGGCATCATTCAGCGAATGCTCTTATGTCCTCTACACAAGGTGGGCTCTCCCTGGAACACCCAAGGGCACTGTGACTCTCAGAAAGCCCTGAGCAAGGTCCCCCCCTCGAGAGAGAGAGAAATCCCTTCTTCGGGCGGCTCAGCAAGTTCAGGGGGAAGAGAAAGCTTTTCTTTGGCTTTGAAACCAGTGTTTATAGAGACAAAGAACAGACCTCAGTAGGAAAAATGAAAATGTAGTTTAACATGGGGACGCATCAGAGGAGAGGATTTTCCCCTTACCTTTCAGAGCCGGCGGGAGCCCAGGGTCTGTTTGGCTTCAAAAGCTTCACATTCTGCTTTGTCCTTGAGTGACTTCACGTGGGATGAGGAACTGTTGACCTCTGTAGGGAGGACACCCCAAGTCCATCCTGGGCTCCTCCTCTCCCCCTCAGAGAGAACACACCCCCAAGAAAAGGCTTTAGAATCACCAGCGTGCCGCCTCACATGTCAGGGCGGAATCACACGCTCCTTACGCTAGAATAAGTTACAAAACCAGATTGTGAGGCTCTTCGCAAATGCAGAGCCCCGGAATGCCGGATGGAGGCCTCTTCGGCCCCCGGGGTGCCGCCTGGCTGCAGTCGGTCTGCGGTAAGGGGCGGCCACGGTGACGGCCTCACACTCCCAGTGAAAACGTGTTTACCCACAGCCTTGCCTCAAGCCTCTTTGACAGTGCCGCTGCCTCGAAGCAATATTATTTAATAAGAATACTTTAAATGGTTCACACGTGCTGCTATGAAGACAGGAGTAATCTGTAGACGGGACCCAGCTCTGGAGGTTCCCGGGTAATGTATTTTGGCTCTTGGAAGTAAGGGTAGAATTTAGAGTATAACAAATGATCTCTCGCCCGGTTCTGTCCCTTATTTTTAGATTGTTTTCCTGCATCTTACAATTTCCTTTTCTTTTCCAAGTTCCTTTTTCCAGGCCTGTTTTTCAGTGCTCAGGACACGGTTTTCATCACCCACATACTTTCTGCTTTTTTCGTTGTTGGGTTTGGTGCAAGACATTTAATACAAAACGCTGCTACATTTGGTGACCAGAGGGAGGGCTTAGAATCTGTGCTTTGCCAGGGATCTCGGTGGGTACCGCAGCCCCCCGCAGGATGGTGAGCTGGGCCCATGCCTCGAGAGAGGGCCCTTTCCCACTGCATGCGGCTTGAATTTTGTCGGAGTTAAATCTGTGGAAGGGATTGTCCTGTTGGAGCTGCTGCGTCCTTCCCTCTGTCCTCCCTGTCACCCAAACCCGAAGTCACAGCTGCTTGGAAGAATGGGATTTTGGGGATACAACCACACACGTTTTCCTCTGAACTGAAATTTTTTAAATAGACCCATTTCACTGACTTCGTTTAGGGAAAGTAGTTTCTCTTTTGGGTTGTCTTTTGAGCCCACCGCCATGTAACCCTGCCTCTGCTGGGCTTTTCCGCCCCGTTCCAGCTCCTCTTTCTCAGGCAGAGGCTGCAGCCTTCAGCTCTGCTGCTGGATGGGACATTTCAGAGCCACCTCCTGGAAGGTGGGCAGGGTGGAGGGCCCAGGGCCAGGCCTGACATGCGCCATAACCAGAGGTGTGAAGCTGGGCTGGCTTTTCCAGGAGTTGGCTGAGAAGGTTCTTTGGGCAAAACAGAATCAGAAGGCCATGAGAGAGATGGGTGAGGGGGAGAGTGGTGAGGAGGATTCGTCTCTGATGAACCTCGCCATGACTGCCTGTCACATCCAAGCCTGTGCCAGCTGCTAGGAGGTCAGAGTCCTGCCCTGAGAAACAGCTCAGTCCCTGGAGAATGAATACCCAGGGGTCAGTGACTGGAGGCCCTCCCTTGAAGCCACCATTCCCAGGAGGCCTGAGCGTGACCCAGAAGCTTGCCTGGCACCAAGACTGGCGTTTTCCTTGTATTTTTGTACGGGACTGAGGTGAGCATCCTTCCTTTGAATGAGTGAGCGCTGGGACTTTTTTGGTTTCTTTTACTCATCCTAATGGCTGGTTTTGGCTGCTCAGAGTATCAGAGAATATTACTAAGAAGGCAGTCACTCTGTCTTTAGGCATCTTTCCTTCTGTCCAGGGAGAAACCCCTCGGAAGAATCTTAGTCAGTCTTTGCACCTGCCTGTCATTCTTGCCACAGGGAAGATGCGTTGAAAAGAAAAATACTAAGACCAGGGAGAAACCGCAAACGAATTTGTTTGCTTTGGTTAAGCAGCTGAACACTGGCTATAAATGACCCCCTACCCCCACCCCGCTCCAGGCCCCAGTGACCCAGTTTCGTCTTCAGGTTCCATCTGCCAGATTTCAGTCAACCAGAGGCTGCCAAGGGTGACTAAAGAGGTCTCCATGTCACTCTCAGTTTTTTTTTTTTTTTTTGAGACAGAGTTTCACTCTGTCACCCAGGCAAGAGTGCAGTGGCACAATCTCAGTTCACCGCAACCTCCGCCTTCCAGGTTCAGCGGTTCTCCCATTTCAGCCTCCCTAATAGCTGGGCCAGCAGGCGCCTGCCACCACACCTGGCTAATTTTTGTATTTCTAATAGAGATGGGAATTTCACCATGTTGGCCAGGCTGGTCTTGAACTGCTGACCTTAGGTGATCCACCCACCTCAGCTTCCCAAAGTGCCGGGATTACAGACATGAGCCACTACGCCCAGCCTCTGTCACTTTTTTTGCTCCTTACCCAGTTTTTTTGTTTTTTGTTTTTTGAGAGTCAGGCTAGAATGAGAAGATTCCTGGTTGGTTATTCTTTATCTTGGATTCTTTTTTCTGGAATCATTTGCTCAGTTGAGTCATTGGTGGTTTACCCCGTGTCAGACACAGTGAAAAGTGTGCAGGAGGCCAGGGCCAAGGGGAAGCAAGGCAGCTTCAATCCGGGATTACAGCCAGCCAAGAAGTGTTTTCTTCCCTCCGGCTATAAGACCTGCCCCTCTGAGTACAGAGTCAAAAGCAGCTTCCAGAACTGTCCCGCTTACAAATGTGTTGGCTAAGCTGAAGCAAGATCTGTGAGGTTCACAGGCCTGTATGGATGTTAAATTGTGTCTGTGGTCTCTCAATTTCTAGGTTAACTGGTCCAGATTTTTTTTTTTTTTTAAATCAGTAACAACGGGGATTTAAGATAATATAGTTGGCCAGATGAGGTGGCTCACACCTGTAATCCCAGCACTTTGGGAGGCCGAGGCGGGAGGATCACCTCAGGAATTTGAGACCAGCCTGACCAACATGATGAAACCCGTCTCTACTAAAAATACAAAAAATTAGCCGGGCGTGGTGGTGGCGGGCACCTGTAATCCTAGCTACTAGGGAGGCTGAGGCATGAGAATCACTGGAACCCGGGAGATGGAGGTTGCAGTGAGCTGAGATCATGCCACTGCACTCCAGCCTGGGCAACAGAGGGAGACTCTGTCTCAAAAATAAAAATAAAATGTTTTAAGTCGGGCCCTTCTTTCTTTCAGAAAGGCTTTTTGGATAACTAGAATACGTTCACCTATGTGGCTTGATTTCTGTTTCAGGAAAAGGGGGGTGGGGCAGGAGAAGAGACAACAGCTGTGCTCCAGATTCTGTCCTGAGATGTCACTGAGTCCAGACACTCGGGCTGTGAGCACCCTGCAAGTGGCATAGGCTGGCACCTCAGCACCCATGCCGGAGGGGTTAAAGCCAATCCGGAGCTTTTGTTTCTGTTTTTGTTTTTAATCTGAATGATAATTCTCCTGTAAAAATAATTTGGGAGGGGGGGGTGTTCGGGTGTGTGTGTGTGTGTTTGTCTGTGTGTGTGTGTGTGTGTGTGTGTGTGTGTGTGTGTGGTTTTTTTTTTTTTTTTACAGTGGCTGCCTGTCTAAAGTATTTTTCACAACTTGTTTAATAATCAGTGCTTTAAAAAGCAGCAGTATCCTAGAAAGAGGAAATGTCAGTTCTGGAGCATTGGATGTGAGGTTCCGCTCATGTCACCTTGTACGTCCCGCCCTGGAGGAGTGGAGGTGGGTACCCAGGGAGGGTGGCTGAACCCCAGCACCGGGAGGGGGCACGCACGAGACCAGAGGAAGGGACAGCCCCACCCATGTCAACAGCAGGCGGCCTGTGTTTTCATTTCAAATGGGATACAGTATTTTTTTAATAAGGAGCCATACTTTTTTTTTAAAGTTTGAGATCTGAATGTGATTTCTAATTGTATCAGACGTTAATGTTTTAAAGCTATAACAAAGTTTAAAATTTCTACCTTTTGTTTTTCATTTATTTTAACTGTTCTTTTATCTATTAAATTGTTGTATGTGGATGGGGAAGTTTTGTTTCTCCTCTTAGCATTTGTTTCTATAACCAGAAATAAAATTCTATATTAAAGAAACGACCCTGAGGCTCCGGTGTGGTCCTTGTGGACAGGATGGCTGCTGAGGGTGGTGAACGGCCTGGACACACAGGCCTCTGACCCCCTGGACACACAGGCACCCGGCCCCTGGACACACAGGCTTCTGACCCCCTGGACACACAGGCACCCGGCCCCTGGACACACAGATTCCTGACCCCCTGGACACACAGGCCTCTGACCCCCTGGACACACAGGCTTCTGACCCCCTGGACACACAGGCCTCTGACCCCCTGGACACACAGGCACCCGGCCCCTGGACACACAGGCTTCTGACCCCCTGGACACACAGATTCCTGACCCCCTGGACACACAGGCCTCTGACCCCCTGGACACACAGGCACCCAGTCCCCTAGATACACAGGTATCTGGCCCCCTGGACACACAGGAACCCGGCCCTCTGGACACACAGGCACCTAGCTCCCTAGACACACAGGTTCCTGACCCCCTAGACACACAGGCTTCTGATCACCTGGTCCTGGCCCCCTAACACACAGGCACCCGGCCCCCTGGACGCATGGGCCCCTGACCCCCTGCTCCAGAGGCTGAAGGGCAGCTGCTGCTAAGGGAAGTCGCCCCATAGGCCCTGGGTATCCCGTTCCTGGCTCATGCAGGAGACACTTCTGCAGATGCCTGTGGCTCCTGGACTCGGTGACCCCCACCCGCTGGGAGTGCTCGGAGCAAGGATATTTGCAGCTCCAGAAATGGGAAGACAATATGCGTCTGCCCCTTAGACATGGCAAGGGAGAAACCAGTTAAGCCAACCCCCTGCTCCTGGCACACACCCACAGCCTGGCTGGGGGGCACTTGGCAGGTACTCACTGCTGCCCCACTGGGGCAGCTGGGCAACTGTGGGTCCTTCCTGCTGGTGTTTGGCTTGATGAGACTTTCTACCCATTTTGCGCATGGGTAGAAATTCTCTCAAGCCTTGCTTATTGTAGGTGCCGGGCCCATGGGGTGGGAATGGCATTGACTTTGGAACTACACAGACCTGGGTTCAGGTTCCTGCTTCGTCCTTACTGGCTGTGGGACTTCGCCTGTGATGCACTCCACTTCTTCATGTGCAGCCCAGGTGTCCCCACCCCACACGCCTGGGGGCGCGCCCTGAAACTCAGCTGTGATGCAGTCAGCCTCTATCTCTTCTGAGAGTCCCCCAGATTTACAAGGCCCTTGGGTGTCTGTGCAACGACCTCCAAAGGGGGTCTTGATAGCAGTGTGTGCTTGTCGCAAGTCTATCTTCTGTAAAGGTTCTGTAGTGTTTGCATGTGACTCACTCAGCTAAGTAACTTGGCATTTTTCAGAATGCACAGTTGCCCACAGCCACAGCTGAAGTCTGAATGCTTCTCTGCCTGCCTTCAAGTTACTCCATGTCCACATAACTTGTAACAGAGTGGTCCTAGTTTAAGATTTCGGCCGGGCGCTGTGGCTCACGCCTGTAATCCCAGCTCTTAGGGAGGCAGAGGCGGGAGGATAGCTTGAGCCCAGGAGTTCAAGACCTGCCTGGGCAATATAGCGAGACCCCATTCTCCACAAAAAGGAAAAAAACAAAAAACAAAAATATTTCAGCCTAGGCCGGGCAGGGTGGCTCATGCCTGTAATCCCAGCACTTTGGGAGGCCGAGGGAGGATGGATCACTTTAGGTCAGGAGTTTGAGACCAGCCTGGACAACATGGTAAAACCCCATCTCTACTAAAAAATATATATATACAAAAAATTAACCGGGCATGGTGGTGTGTGCCTGTAATCCCAGTTACTCAGCAGGCTGAAGCAGGAGAATCACTTGAACCCAAGAGGCAGAAGTTGCAGTGAGCTGAGATCTCACCACTGCACTCCAGTCTGGGTGACAGAGCAAGACTTAGTCTCAAAAAAAAAAAAAAAAAAAATCAGCTCAATAGCAAGCATGAGAGAGAAGCATAAGCTTCCTCCAGGGAGCTGTGTTGGGTAATTATTAATCGAATCTCTCCTTTTTAAGATGTTGTTGTATTTGTTTGTTTGTTCAGAGACAGGGTCTCCCTATGTTGCCCAGGTCAAGAAATTCCGCTTCCTCAACCTCGCAGTGTTTGGATGACAGGTGTGAGCCACCGCACCTGGCCTTTTTTGCTTTTGGTTAGGACAACCATTTTTCACTAGTGAGACCTTAAAATAACATATTACACTAATGTAAACATTTTGTAAGAAACAAGTGAAATATTACTCCTGGTAAAATTGCTTGGGTTGTGCCTTTGTGGAGAGAGAGAGAGATTGAGATTCCTGGCACATAGTTAGATGCCCAGTTTAAGTTAGCTGCTCTGTGAACCTGGTAAACACACAACAAAGAGGGGTGCATCTCTGAGAACCCCAGAAGACGTCATGATTGTGCACTGCAGCGCTATTCATTATTGTCAGAAGGTGGAAACCAATCAACTATTCATGGAAGAACAAGAAAAACTAAGTACTGTATGATTCCATTTGCATGAAGTGTAAAAAGAGGTGAAACTAATCTCTGGTTAGAAGCAAGACTAGGCTGGGCACGGTGGCTCATGCCTGTAATCCCAGCACTTTGGGAGACCAAGGCGGGCAGATCACAAGGTCAAGAGATTCTGACAAATATGGTGAAACCCTGTCTCTACCAAAAATACAAAAATTAGCCAGTTGTGGTGGCATGCACCTGTAGTCCCAGCTACTTGGGAGGCTGAGGCAGGAGAATCGCTTGAACGCAGGAGGAGGAGGTTATAGCGAGCCGAGACTGCACCATTGCACTGCAGCCTGGTGACAAAGCAAGACTCTGTCCCCTGCCTCCCCGCCCCCCCCCCAAAAAAAAGACTAGCAGTTACTTCTGAGGGAGGGGAGTAGGTGTTGACTGGGAGGGGGCCACAGGGGGACTTCTTGGGGGCTGGAAATGGTCTAGATCTTGAACTCAGTCATGGCAGGAGTATTTGCAACACAGAAATTTTCAAACACAAGGCCAGGCATGGTGGCTCACACCTGTAATCCAAGCACTTTGGAGGCCAACGCGGGTGGATCACCTGAGGTCAGGAGTTCAAGACCAGCCCGACCAACATAGTGAAACCCCATCTTTAAAGAAAAAAAAAAAGAAAAATTATCAAACACAAAGCCCCCACACACACACACTACCAATGGAGCCAAGACTTAAGACATTTTCCAATTTACCACTGATTTCTAGAAATGTAAAAAAATTCATTTCAGATTTGTGCACTTTGATACGTATGTTTTACCCTAGTAAACGTTAAACACTGGTAAGAGGCTTTTCAAAGATATCTGTCACCAGCTTTCCTTTACCAGTCTTCAACCGGCGGCTCCGGGGCACCCACTGCACTCCACATTTGGAAGCCTCTCTCATTCTGGTACAGTTGTGGTCCAGGGGAGGGAGGTTTGACTGATGGATTTGCAGGCAGGCGGAAGGAAGAAAGTGGAGAAATCAAGGGTAACTTCATGTTTCTGGCTTGGGAAGCAAGAGACTCCCATCTCTTCATCCTCCACACCAGGTGCCCTCAGACATCACTGGGCACCCAAGGGCATCTCAAAGCCACGTTTGGAACTCCTGCAGAAAGCTCTCCCTCCCTCCTCCTTCTCTTTCCTTCCATCGGACTTACCCCTTCAAGGCCTAACCTTGACACACCCTATCTACGGAACATTGATTCCCACTCCCCACCCTAATCCCCAGAACCTTCAGCAGTGCCTAGTGCAGGTAGGACTCAATCATCACTTGTCTCCTGAATGAATGACTCTTGGCACAAATTTCCCTGTCCTTTTCTGCCCCAGCACCAAATGAATGGCACCACCCGGTGCCCAAGCCAGAAACATGAATTTACCCTTGATTTCTCCACTTTCTTCCTCCTGCCTGCAAATCCACCAGTCAAACCTCCCTCCCCGGAACAAAACTGTACCAGCCTTCTCTCTCCCTCAGGAGCTTCCCCATCCATTCTCTCCCCTGTGCCAGAGGTCATTTTCTCCCTGGGGTGCATTTAAGCCTCAGGAAGCAGATCCCTGTCCTAAGCCCACCCCATCTCTACCCCTTGGTCTGGACACCCTTGGGCTCATCATGACGCTGATATGTCGCCCTGTGTCACCCTGCCGTCTGCAGGGTGGCAAACATCCCTAGACCCCAGCACATCCGGGGCAACCAACACATCTATTAGAATGAACAGAAACTTCCCCTCTCTGAGACTGTGGACTCATCTGTAAAACAGAGATCGCTAATCCCAGCACTTTGGGAGGCCTAGGCGGACAGATCAAGAGGTGAAGAGATCGAGACCATCCTGGCCAACACGGTGAAACCTCATCTCTACTAAAAACACAAAAAGTAGCCGGGCGTGGTGGCGCGCACCTATTCCCAGCTACTCGGGAGGCTGAGGCAAGAGATCGTTTGAACCCAGGAGGCGGAGGTTGCAGTGAGCCAAGATTGCGCCTCTGCACTCCAGCCTAAGCCACAGAGGGAGACTCGGTCTCAAAAAAAAAAAAAGAGATCGCGAGATCCCATGAATAAGGGATTTTTGTTTGTTTCAAGCAGCAGAAACAGCGCGGGATGGGTGCTCAATAAATGGGAGCTAAAAAAATTTCCCAAAACTGTCCAGAGCCGCGGCAATTCCTTGCAAACTGCTGGATGCTGCTGGGCTCAGCCCACCAATGGCGGAGTTTGTGTCAGATTCTTAGGTCTTACTTAACGTAGGGACTCGAGCACGATAAAGCTGCTTACGAAACAGAAACCAGAACTGGGGCAGTAGCACTTTGGAGTCAGCGACACCCTCTCCCAAGGCCCCAGGCGCCCAGTTTCCGCCGGAAGGGCTTCCGGGGTCGAAGGGCGCCGGGACCCCGAGTACCGAGGTCCCAGTGTAGCTGCACTCCGCAGTCCCCAGGTGCCGACCGTCTCCGCAGGCGCCGACCTTCACCAGGCCAGAGCACCTATGCCCCGCCCCAAGCGCTTCACGCCAAAGCCCATTGGCCAGCAACCTGTCCGTTCGTCCACGTGATGCGTCACATGACGCAACCGCGGAAGCCGGGTGCGCTCGCGTGATACGGTCCCGGAAGTCGGCCGGGTTGCGGGGCTGCGGGGCTGCGGGGCTGCTGGGCTGCTTCCCTTGGAGTTTCCGTGATTCATGCCCGCTTGGAGGCGGCAGCGGCGCGATGTTCTCCGCAGGAGCGGAAAGTTTGCTCCACCAGGCCAGGTGCGGGGTAGCTGCAGCCCCGGCCCTCCTTCCCACACTTCTCCCTAGGGGTTTCCCGGGGGTGGGTCTCACAGGGCAGGGGTCCGGGCGCCCGCCTTGCAGGAGCCCGACTGGACCGGTCCTGGAGACTCGGGGATCGGGGAAACGCAACATGACGGCCAGACTTGGGGTGAGGAGGTCGGGGAGGGCCACGGTGGGTCCCCGGAAAAGGTGACACCTGAGCAGAGTCTTGGTGAGTGAAAGCAAGTGGGGCGGGGCCCAGGCAACAGTTTGGTCAAAGGCTTGGTGGTGAGAACCCCGGGTCTGGCAGGTAATCGGGCATCCAGGAGCTTTCGTTGCCTCGCAGTTAAGGACACAAAGTCACAGAGAGGTCGGAGGGCTGCTTAGGAGTAAGGCTGTGGGCTGCGGAGCTGGAGGCCGTCTGAGGGCTTGGGGGAACCGTGGGAGGGTTTTATCACTTAGAAAGGTCGCTCTTGCGCGGTTGTATTGGCTAGGCTAAGAAATCCCCCACCAGGCTGGTACCAGGCTGTCTTTGTACTCCCACTAACGAGTGGGTTGCCCCTTCCTCACCTCTAACCAGTCATGGGGGAAAACATAGGCCAGGACTGAAAAGACTCACAGCCCACCAAACAGGCAAAGTTTGATACTACATGCTTAAAAGAAGAAAATGCAGCCAGAACTACAGCCCCTTGGTAAATGCAAACAAACAAACAAACTCGGTGAGGCGGGAGGCTGAGACAGGAGAGTTCCTTGAACCCAGGAAGTGGAGGCTGCAGTGGGCCAAGATGGCGCCACTGCCCTCCAGCCTGGGCAACAGAGCGAGACTCCGTCTCAAAACAGACAAGCAAACCTGGATTCAGAGCTAGATCAATTGGTGGGAAAGATTCGGATGGATGAAGTTGCTATGATTATAGTGAGTGAGGGCTTGAAGGCAAATTAAGTTCTAAAGTCTGAACAGGACAAAAATCCCTGATCAAAGTAACCCTTAAGATTCCACTCATAGCCGGACACGGTGGCTCACGCCTATAATCGTAGCACTTTGGGAGGCTGAGGTGGGTGGATCACCTGAGGTCAGGAGTTTAAGACCAACCTGGCCATCAGGTGAAACCCCATCTTATTTAAAAAAAAAAAAGGAGATTGCACTCATTAGGAAAGTGCTTGGTGAATATGCAGTATCATCTCCCAGTAGCTCAACGCCGGCAATCTTCCCTTTAGTCCTGGACAGATATGCATTTTTTTTTTTTTTTTTTTTTTTTTTTAGAATAAAGAAGAGGAAGAAAGAGAAAGAGGAAGAGGGAGAGAGGATGGGGGTATTGCTTTATTGCCCGGACTAGAATGCAGTCTAAATATGGGTATGCCTATAATTGTCCTTAATAATGGAGACATGAAAGAAAATGAGGGAAGAGAATAACAAACAAGGAGCCAACCAACATTTCGTTTAAACTTCTAAGTTGATATGATGTGGTACTGATAAGAGTGTATATTTTGTATATTTAAAGTGGAGAGTTCTATAAATGTTAATTACATTTACTTGTTCCAGATCTGAGTTCAAATCCTGAATATCGTTGTTAATTTTCTGTCTCATTGATCTGTCGAATATTAATGTTGAAGTCTCCCATTATTATTATGTGGGAGTCTAAGTCTCTTTATAAGTCTTGTATGTCTGCGTATTCCTGTATTGGGTGCGTATATATTTAGGATCTTTAGCTCTTCTTGTTGTTGCATTGATCCTTTTATCATTATATAATGTCCTTCTTTGCTTCTTTTGATCTTTGTTGCTTAATTGTAACTTCTGCTTTTTATTTATTTATTTTAGCTCTCTGTTTGGTTGGTAAATCTTTCTCCATCCCTTGTTTGGAGTCTTTGTGTATCCTTGAATGTGAGATGGATCTGGATGCAGCATACTGATGGGTTTTAGTTTTTTATTCAAATTGCCTGTCTTTGGATTGGGGGATTTAGTCAATTTAAATTTAGAATTAATAATAATATATGTGAGTTTAATACTGCCATTAGCTGGCTATTTTGTCCATTAGTTGATGTAAATTCTTCATTATATTGATGCTCTTTTTGATAATTTTTTTAGAAAGGCTGATATTGTTCGTTCCTTTCATATGTGTAGTGGTTCTTTCAGAAGCTCTTGTAAAGCAGGCCTGGTGGTGATGAAATCTCTGAGTGCTTGCTTATTCACAGAAAACTTTATTTTTCCTTCACTTGTGAAGCTTAGTTTGGCTGGATGTGAAATTCTGGGTTGAAAGTTCTTTTCTTTAAGGATGTTGAATATTGGCCCCCACTCTCTTCTGGCTTGTAGGGTTTCTGCTGAGAGATCTGCTGTAAGTCTGATAGGCTTCCCTTTGTGGGTAACCTGACCTTTCTCTCTGGCTGCCCTTAGTATTTTCTCCTTCATTTCAACCCTGGTGAATCTGACGATTATGTGCCTTGGAGTTGCTCTTCTTGAGGAATATCTCTGTGGTGTTCTCTGTATTACCTGGAGTTGAATATTATCCTGCCTTACTAGGCTGGGAAAATTTTCCTGAATAATATCCTGAAGCGTATTTTCCAGCTTGGATTCATTCTCTTCGTCACATTCAGGTACACCTATCAAGCGTAGATTAGGTCTTTTCACATAGTCCCATATTTCTTGGAGACTTTGCTCGTTCCTTTTTATCCTTTTTTCTCTAATCTTGTCTTCTTGTTTTATTTCATTGAGTTGGTCTTCGACCTCTGATATCCTTTCTTCTGCTTGATCAATTCGGCTGTTAAAACTCGTGCATACTTCACCTAGTTCTCCTATTGTGTTTTTCAGCTCCATCAATTCACTTATATTCCTCTCTAAATTGTATATTCTTGTTAACATTTCGTCAAATCTTTTTTCAAAGTTCTTAGTTGCTTTAGATTGGGTTAAAACAAGTTCTTTTAATTCACAGAAGTTTCTCATTATCCACATTTTGAAGCCTGCTTCTGTAATTGGAACACACTCGTTCTCCATCAAGCCTTGTTCCATTGCTGATGAGGAACTGGGATCCCCTGCTGAGGGAGAGGCGTTCTGATCTTGGGCATTCTCAGCCTTTTTTGGCCGTTTTCCTCCCTTCGTTATAAATTTATCCATCTGTGGTCTTTGAATTCACCGTCTTTGTAATTAGGTTTCTGAGTGGACGTCCGACTTACTGATTCTCAGCGCCGAAATCTGAGCAACCCACTGCGCCGACTAAATCAGCGGCGTTAAGATTGATGGTGCTTTTCTGACTGCACCAAGAACCGTCGCTCCAAGGCACCAGCAAAACCGCCTCGCCGGTCACAAGAGTCGCGCTGGCGACCCGTGGGGCTCCTCCGCTGGGAATCTCCTGGTGCGTGAGCAACAAGAATTCATGTGAAGTTGTGGCGTCCTCTCGTTCTTTGCGCTTTCAGTGGGAGCTACAATCCCGAGCTGTTAGTAATCAGCCATCTTGGATCCTGGACAGATATGTCATTTGAATTTAGGGACTGTATGAAAATGAAAAATACTGGCATCTCACTCAGCATGCAATATATTCATCCCAAAGTCCTTACCAAGAGACAAGGAAAAACACTGACTGAGAACTCCATTCCCAAGTCACATGCTACTCAAGGTCATAAACTTGTGACATGAAAGACAAAAGGAACAGCCCTCACTAGTTAATTATTCATTTATTTATATTTGAGAAAGTGTCTCCCTCTGTCACCCAGGCTGGAGTGCAGTGGCACAATCTCAGCTCACTGCAACCTACGCTTCCCAGGTTCAAGCAATTCTCCTGCCTCAGCCTCCCAAGTAGCTGGGATTACAGGTGCCTGCCACCACCCACAGCTAAGTTTTTGTATTTTTAGTAGGGATGGGGTTTTGCCACATTGGCCAGGCTGGTCTGGAACTCCTGACCTCAGGTGATCTGCCCACCTTGGGCTCTCAAAGTGCTGGGATTACAGGTGCAAGCCACCAAGCCCGGCCGAGCCCTCACTATTTAAATACCTGTTTCTCTTCCTCCTTGGCTAGGGTGGGCAGGCATTTTTGAGGAGAGTGTGGTTGAATTTCCCTACATAACATACATGAGTTCTACAGTTGCCCTCTGTTAAGGTTTAAAGAAGGTTAATAATGTATCAGGGCTTACTTGTTTTCACTATAAATTTAACCCTATGATTTCTGGTGGTGTTTTAAAATATACAGCTATAGTTTGAGGGTTAAGGTTTGGAGTGGGCTAGGCACAGTGAGTGGCTCACACCTGTAATCCCAGCACTTTGGGAGGCCGAGTTAGGAGGATTGCTTGAGGCCAAGACTTCAAGACCAGCCTGGGCAACATAGCAAGACCCATCTCTACAAAACAGAATTTTTTAAAAACTTAGCCAAGTGTGGTGGCATGCACCCGTAGTCTCAGCTACTTGGGAGCCTGAGGCAGGAGGCAGTATCATCCCACTTGAGCCAAGAAGGTTGAGGCTGCAGTGAGCTATGATTGTGCCACTGCACTCCAGCTCAGGTGACATAGGGAAGCCCTGTTTCCAAAGAAAGCCAAAAAGATTTGGAGTGAACTTTAATTTCTCTCTAAATGTGTCAGAGATACGGGAAGCAAGGGTGGAAAAAGTTACCAAAGATAGCTCTGTAAGCTGAAGGATAAATGGAGAAAGCAGGAAGCGAGTCAAGGATTGAGGCATGGAGGTAGAGCCGCTGACCGGAAGCTGGGGTATGTTTCAGGCAGAGGGTCCGTGTGAAGGAGCAGAAGCAAGAGAAACAGGACATGGAGGCTGGAGAAGGAACCCGGGGCAAGGGTCTTCTAGGAAGCATTAGGGTCTGTAGGGGTTTGGATTTGAAAGCAGTGAGGAGCTATGGAAGGGTTTGGGTGAGTTGGCTTTTTAGAAGGAAGCTTGGGATTTGGAGAATATGCTGAAGGAAATGAAATCGGGATGAGGAGTTCCACCTTTCTGGGAAAGATTCTCCATTGTAATTTTTTTTTTTTTTTTTTTTTTTTTTGAGACAGGGTCTCACGCTGTCAGCCAGGCTGGAGTGCAGTGGCGCAATCTCAGCTCACTGCAGCCTGATCTTCTAGCTCAAGCAGTTCCCCCACCTCAGCCTCTCAGGTAGCCAGGACTACACCATGCCTAGCAAATTTTTTTTTTTTTAATTCTTTTGTAGAGAAGGAGTCTCACTGTGTTGCCCAGGCTGATCTCAGACTCCTGGGCTCAAGTGATCCTCCCACCTCAGCCTCCCAAAGTGCTGGAATTACAGGTGGCCTGTAGAGGGCACAGCCACTTAGGGGACTTCTCAGGGAGCCCCCCGAGGCCCCTGACACAGCAGACCCTTTGCATTATTGCCTCTTTCTTTTAGGCTAGAATAGAAACCTAAAAACACGATTCCATTTGGCTATGCTGGGTGCTTCCTGCCCTCATACATCGGACTCCAAAAAAAGAAAAAAAAAAACAGGTTTCCATTTGGGAATTTATTCAGTATCTTACCTGTGGCTTACTAGAAAGAGTTTTAAATTAAGCCAGTTACTTATTCTGGTAAAAATTATAACAGGCTTACCTTACAATATGTCGTAACACTTGTTCTTTAAGATAGGAGATTTTATTCTCGTTCCCATAAGCGAAAAGCTCTCAAGAGTAGGAAATTTAGTGTAGAATAAGTTGCTTTTCAAAAGATGTCTTCGATCTTTTTACTCCTAAAAAGAACCGGTTTTAGTCCTTCTGCTCCTGGAGTAACAAAATCTAAGTACCTGAGTCTCCGTGCGTGAGATTTGTCATAGTAAGTCACAGCGATGGATCGAGAAATCATAGGGTGAGAGAGGCCAGTTTGGCGAATCAGTGAATTTTTCTCAAGAAGCATTGAGTGGTAGAACCGTGTTCCTCCCAGACACGGCTTCTTTTTTTTGAGATGGAATCTTGCTTTGTATCCAGGCTGGAGTGCAGTGGCTCAGTCTCGGCTCACTGTAACTCCCAGGTTCAGGCGATTCCTCTGCCTTATCCTCTTTAGGAGCTGGGACTACAGGCACATACCACCACACCTGGCTAATTTTTTGTATTTTTAGAAAGAGATGGGGTTTCACAGTGTTAGCCAGGTCTTGATCTCTTGACCTCGTGATCCACCCGCCTCAACCTCTCAAAGTGCTGGGATTAGACGTGTGAGCCACCGCACCTGGCCTCGGCTTCTCTTTTCTAAAGAGGGATTTTTCCCCACTCCAAGAGTTATTCTTTTTTTTGGTTCAGAGCGGTGAGTGCTTCTGGGTCCTGAAGTCCTCTTCTCTTTTTAGGGAGATCCAGGACGAGGAGCTGAAGAAGTTCTGTTCCCGGATCAGTAAATTACTGCAGACGGAGGACTTGGGGCCGGACACCGTCGACTCCCTGCAGAGGCTCTTCCTCATCATCTCAGCCACAAAGTACCACCGGAGGTGAGTGTGGCCACGGCTCAGGCCGGCTCCCAACGCAGCGGCTCTAGGAGAACCCGCCCCATGCCCAGCAGGTCAGCGCAGATGCTCCTTGGTTGGGGGTAGGGGGTTGAGTCATTTGTCTACTGAAACTGGTGCTGAAGGTCCGTCCTCACATAAAACGCTCTGTCCCCCTGCCCGAGGATGCCCGGCCAGGTCCTCTGGGGCGCCGGATGCTCCTGCCACGGGCATGACATGTGACCGCCCGCTGTGGGCATCTGGCCTTGCAGGCTGGAGAAGACGTGCATAGACCTGCTGCAGGCTACCCTCAGCCTGCCTGCGTGCCCCGAGCAGCTCCAGGTGCTCTGCACCGCCATCCTGCGAGAGATGTCCCCCTGCGACAGCCTCAGCCTGGCCTGGGATCACACCCAGAACAGCCGGCAGCTGAGCCTGGTGGCCTCTGTGCTCTTGGCCCAGGTAACGTGGCAGTCACCACCCCAGTGGGCCATCCAGCCCCAGGGTTCCTGGGGCCTCGGGTGCACCCAGCAGGCTGGCCTGTGTCCCCTCACGTGCACCAATGTGCCATGTAGGGCTGGTGGACTCAGGTCCCCGTGCCAGTCACAGCCTCAGGTGTGCCAGACACTCAGCACCGAGATGCGCCTAGAACAAGCAGACACCTGCCGGTGCCCCACCTCCTGTGTCCCCTGTTCCTGGGGAGACCGTCATCCCGAGGCCCTGCTGACGACTCAGTGAGGTTGCAGAGCCAGGGCTGCTCTGGTGGCATTCTGAGACCCACATAGGGCAGCGTGGGTGACGTGGATAGAGCAGCAGGTTCAGCTCCCTGGGCCCCGTTCCAGGAGTTTTCAGACCTGGATTTGTGCTGTAAGAGGGGCACAGTAGAGGTGACGGAGGTTGGTTTCTCAGGCACGGCCCTGAGGCAGTGTGTCGGGGAAGGCCAGGTCTCCAGACCTTTTTTTGTTTTTGTTGGTGGTGGTGGTGGTGTTTTTTTTAGAAACAGTGTCTCTGCTGCCCAGGCTGGAGTGCCGTGGCGTGATCATAGCTCACTGCAGCCTCCACCTCCATGGCTTAAGCAGTCCTCCCACCTCAGCCTCCTGAGTAGATGGGATTACTGGCATGCATCTCCACACCCAGCTAAGTTTTGTATTTTTTGTAGGGACCTGGGGTCTCACTATGTTGCCCAGGCTGGTCTCGAACTCCTGGGCTCAGGCAGACCACCCTTCTCAGCCAGAAGTTTTTCCCAAGTCCATGTCCTCCCTCCCTCTGTGTCGGGAGCAGGCCTGGACGCTCAGCGTGGGCATCCGGGGCTTCACAGGCTGCCTTTGTGTGAGGGAAGCTGCTGCCTCTGCTCGTGGGTTGCCCGGGGGTGCAGAGTCAGCCCAAAGGGTGCCGTAGAGCCTGTGGTTGCTGTGAGAGGTCACAGGCGCCAGTGTACCGGGCCTTGTGCCCCGTCATTGGGGTCAGCTCCCTCACCTCATGGAGCCCCTGCAGGCCACCTCCAGGCCCCCAAGATGACCCCGGTAATGCTGCGGTGGTTCCTCGCCTTTGTGACAAGATGACTCTGGCTCTTATTCATTTCCTGCCCTAGCCTGGAAGCAGCCCCTTTTCCTCAAGCAACTCTCATTTTTTTTGGTGGAAGATGATCTCGCAGAACTGCCGCCAGGCACCAACGGTGCACCTCCCACCAGGCACGTGGCCTCCCGGCCACCCAGTGCCCTCCTCCTGTCCCTGACCACCTGGCCCGTGTGCCGGGTGCGCCTGGTGCTGCTCAGTTTCAGCATCTGGCTGTGCAGAGTGAGGTGGGCGGTTTAAAGACGGGACTCCACACTGGAGGCCCCATAGGATGTGGTGTCCTGTGGCTACAGCCACGCCCATGGTGGCCTCCGCTGTGTTTTTAGCATTGAATTAGCCATGCCCCCCCCAGGCCTCCTCCAGCCTCAGGGATGCAGCTCGCAGGGAAAGAGGCTGGAGGCGGTGCAGGCACCACCTTGCTGCCCTGGGTGGGCCTGGGCACAATGTCCACCCTGCCACCCCTTGGGCCGGGGGTCTCAGGAACCCACGCTTCTCAGGAGTGTCGCACAGACTTCTGAAATGGGCGGAGCTGGTCTCTGGCAGGTGACATGGGCCAGTACCCCACCGTTTGCCCCGTGTTTGATTTGAAGGGTGACAGAAATGAGGAGGTCCGAGCCGTGGGCCAGGGCGTGCTGCGGGCCCTGGAGAGCCGGCAGCCAGAGGGGCCCAGCCTCAGACACCTCCTCCCCGTCATGGCCAAGGCCGTGGTCCTCAGCCCGGGCACCCTCCAGGAGGGTACGTGGGGCCCCTCCTGAGAGGCTGTTCAGGGTCTGCCCTTCCAGGTCCTTCCCTGCAAGGCCTGTGGTGGGTTGGGGGCATGGGGGGGGTGGGGGAACAGGGTGGCCCAAGGGCCTGGGACGCTGCCCGATTCTGTTTTCTGAGAAAAATCGGCCAGCATCCTGACATCCGTAGGATTTAACCTCCTCTCCCCATGCCACCACACCCACTGCAGACCAGACCACCCTGCTCAGCAAGCGGCTGGTCGACTGGCTGCGCTATGCCAGCCTCCAGCAAGGGTTCCCGCACTCCAGCAGCTTCTTCTCCACGCCCAGGACCCGGCAGGTGAGGGCGGGGCTGTTCCGGGACCATGGGGAACAGAGTCACAGACAGCCCCTCCCCAGGAGCTCCTGTGCCCACTGTGGCCAGCCCTGCCCAGCGGGTCCCCATCCATGCCTGCTGTCCTCGCTCGGGGTCCAGGACAAGCCTGCCTCTGCTGTGGGGCTTGGGCCATACAGGGCCGCAGTCCCCCGACCTGTGTGGCTCTGGGGATCTGTGTGTGGGTTCACTCCCGGGGCCTGCGCAGGAGGATGTGGAACGCGCATCTGCCTGGGGGTCAGGTGGGGACGGTGTTTTTGCGTCACACAGGGTGGGCCGCTGCCCCAGCTCACGTTCAGGCAGCTTCCCCTCCACCCTCCTGAGGAGCTTGTGTTCTTGTCAGCATTTTCCCGGCCTCAGCCCCTCCACCCACCCCTGCCTGTCCCTCCCACAGCCGGGCCCCATCACCGAGGTGGATGGGGCGGTGGCCACAGACTTCTTCACGGTGCTATCTACCGGCCACCGCTTCACGGAGGACCAGTGGCTGAACGTGCAGGGCTTCTCCATGCTGCGGGCGTGGCTGCTGCACAGCGGCCCTGAGGGCCCAGGTGCCCTGGACACAGGTGTGCTGGGGATGGGGCGGTGTCAGACAGGTGGGAGGTGGGTGCACTGTGGGTCGGTCTCGGGGGACACAGGTGTGCCCAGAATGCAGCAGAGGTCAGGGCTGGGCAGAGAACACTCCTGGCCAGCGTGGGTGGGGTCCAGGGTCAGCACCGGGGGTCCTCTGTGGATGACATGTGACCATCACGTGATGTGCAAGAGAAGCAGAGTCACCGTTTAAGGCAGGCGCCCTTAAGACTGTTGGAGTGGGAGTGACACCAGTGCTCCTCGCAGCTGCTCCGTGGACTTGCTGGGGAAGAAGCCTCAGCTCCCCTGAAGGGCGGCCATGATGGGGAAGCTGCCAGGCGGGTGGACGTCCCAAGATGGCGACACCGCACACCCCTGGGAGGGGCTGGGGGCTGTGCTCCCTTCCTGCCCTTCCAAGCAGGGGCAGCGGGCATGTCCCAGGCCAGGAGCCATGCAGCAGCCTGCTGAGCGTCCCCTCCTCTCACAGATGACGGGTCAGAGCAGGAAGGCTCCACGCTGTCGGTGATCTCCGCCACCTCCTCCACTGGCCGCCTGCTGCCACCCCGAGAGCGGCTTCGGGAGGTGGCCTTCGAGTACTGCCAGCGCCTCATCGAGCAGAGTAACCGGCGTGAGTCCCCCACCCAGGCACTGGCCCCCCAGCTCCACCCACCTGCCACACAAGGTGACCCGAGGCCCGCAGATTTTCCTCAAGCTGCTGCTCCAGAGGGTGGGCCCTGGGGAGCCAGTTTGGAGCAGGGGCGTTTTGTTTCTGGGGTCAGCCCCAAGTGCTCTTCAGGCTCCAACCCAGCCCCTAGCCTGGCCCTGTCCCGCCTCGGCCCCTCAGCCTTAGTCCCACTGAGTCCCCCTGGGGGCCTGTCTGCCCCTCTGCTCCCAGTCCTGCCTGGAGCTTCCAGGACACACGCCGCACCCTCATTGGGCTGCTCTGAGGCTGAGGCAGAGCCGGCTGACCTATTCCCTTCCTTCCAGGAGCCCTGAGGAAGGGGGACTCTGACCTGCAGAAAGCTGTAAGTGGCTGGGGCTGGGGGGACCAGGGGGGCAGCTGCGGGAGGTGGTAACTCAGCCCGTCTGACGCGGCTCGTGTCCCGCAGTGCCTGGTGGAGGCCGTGCTGGTGCTGGACGTGCTGTGCCGGCAGGACCCGTCCTTCCTGTACCGCAGCCTCTCCTGCCTGAAGGCCCTGCACGGGCGGCTGCAGGGGGACCCCGCCTCTGTGCGGGTGCTGCTGCCGCTCGCCCGCTTCTTCCTGAGCCATGGTGAGCCCAGAGGGGGTGGTGACAGCTCTCGGGACTCTGCCCCTGCCCTTCATTTTAGGACAGGATTTCTTCTTCCCTTTTTTTTAAAAAAAAAAAAATTGAATAGAGATGGGTCTTCCTATGTTGGCCAGGCTGGTCTTAAACTCCTGGCCATAAGCAGTCCTCCTGCCTTGGCCTCCCAAAGTGCTGGGATTAGGGGCATGAACCACCACACTCAGCTCATATTTCTTTTTTTTTTTTTTATTTTGAGACAGAGTTTCACTCTGTTGCCAGGCGCCAGGCTGGAGTGCAGTGGCACGATCTCGGCTCGCTGCAACCTCCGCCTCCCAGGTTCGAGCAATTCTCCTGCCTCAGCCTCCTGAGTAGCTGGGATTACAGGTGCACGGCACCACGCCCAGCTAATTTTTGTATTTTTAGTAGAGACAGGGTTTCACCATGTTGGCCAGGATGGTCTCTATCTCATGACCTCGTGATCCACCCGCCTCAGCCTCCCTGAGTGCTGGGATTACGGGTGTGAGCCACCGCGCCCAGCCGTCATGTTTCTTTTTTATGGATCCCTGTGCTAAATGTTGGTAATTTTCAAACTTTTAAATAGAAAAATAAACAGAAACTCTTTGCTGTGTCCCTAGCCCATGAAATTCAAAAGTCTAGGAACTAGCACCTTCCAAAAAATGTGCCATGGTTTGTGTGACTCACGAGCTGGCCGTGTTGCTGGGAGAGGGGAGACCGAGTGTAGCTTCCCCGGCGTCCCGGCGTAGGACGTAGGAGAGAGCCCTTGGTGTCCTGGAGAGCAGGCCCGAGACTCAGGTGCCCTAACCAGCCACAGAGCGGCACTGCCAGGACTAGGTCTAGGTCAGGACACGTGCGTCCAGCAGGCGTGCGCCCTGACGGGCCCTGGTCTTGCAGGGGAGGTGGCTGCGGTGGACTCGGAAGCTGTCTACCGGCACCTGTTCACCAGGATCCCATCTGAGCAGTTCCACAGCCCCATGCTGGCCTTCGAGTTCATCCAGTTCTGCAGGGACAACCTCCACCTGTTTGCTGGGCACCTCAGCACCCTCAAATTGAGCTTCCCCAACCTCTTTAAGGCAAATTTGGGCATCCTTGGCTGCCAGGGCGGGGGTTGGCCTCCTCCCCTCTTTCCAGCAGGGTTCAGGGCAAGTCCTGGCTGAGCATAGAGCCCTGTGGACCCTGGGCCTGGAATGTGGGGTGCAGCACAAGGTGAGGGCCCAGGGTGCCCATGTGGCATCACGCCTGCCCCACAGCTCTGAGCTCTGACCAAACCACTGCGCTGTGCCTACAGTTCCTGGGCTGGAACAGCCCACCCCTCACCTCCGAGTTCGTGGAGCTCCTCCCGGCCCTGGTGGACGCCAGCACGGCGCTGGAGATGCTGCACGCACTGCTGGACCTGCCGTGCCTGACTGCGGCACTGGACCTGCAGCTCAGGTGGGCCCCTCACCCTCTGCCAGCTGGTCCTGCACACTGGGCCTCTCCTCACCGCTTCTGACCCCTGTACACCCCCAACACGCGGCCAGTTCTGCCCTGCAAAGCCACCTTCAGGACAGGGCGAGTCTCTCACCCTTGGCCACCCGCCAGGGGCAGCCCCTGCACCCTGGAGTTCCTCACCCATCTTCACGCCCAGGCCTGGAGCCTTCCCGTGCCCCCAAGCCCTTCCCAGCATCCAGGCGCTGTGATGTTACAGACACCTGCTGTGTGTCTCCCAACAAGGGGTGTGCCCGTGGGGGCAGGGGCTGCATGGGACCCTGAGTGGCCTGTGCCGAATCCCAGCCCGGCCTTGGATGTCTGTCCACGCAGGTCATCACCAGCTCCATCTGAGAGGCCACTCTGGGACACCTCTCTCAGGGTCCCCAGCTGCCTGGAGGCCTTCCGGGACCCACAGTTCCAGGGTCTTTTCCAATACCTGCTGCGCCCCAAGGCCAGTGGCACCACTGAGAGGTAGGGGCCCTCAGGATGGGGAGCTGCCAGGATGGGGCAGGCTGCTGGGCCCTGGGCTGAGGCTAGGGTGCTTTATGCCCCAGACAAGGCTGTGTTCCCACCCCAGGGAGCAGCTGTCACGACTGTCGCAGAGGCCCTCCTGCAGCATGGTCTGCTGGATGGGGGCCTAGGGCTCAGCTCTCTCTGCTGCCCAGATCAACTCTTAGAAGCCTGGGGGTCGGCCCTGTGGCTGCCATTTTGCAGATGGAGAAACCGAGGCTGAGCCCAGGAAGCAGGAGGCCCAGGACTGGCCCACAGACCTCCTGCCCCTGGCCCACACCAGCCTTTGCCCCGACGGCTCCACTGTCCTCAGTATGCCAACACCGGGGGTCTCCCTGAGCCCAGGAGAGCAGGTGGTCCTGAGAGGCGAGAATCGAGGATGGGAGTGGGCACAGCCACATGAGAGGGGGTAGTGATGACGTGGCCCCGATGCCTGGCCCTGGCCAGCAGTCACCGGGTAAGGGAGCAGGCGGCTCTCACGGCCACACTGTGTCCCCAGGTTGGCACCGCTCCACCAGCTGCTGCAGCCCATGGCCGGCTGCGCCCGTGTGGCCCAGTGTGCTGAGGCCGTGCCCACACTGCTGCAGGTGTTCTTCTCAGCGGTGACCCAGGTGAGCCCACTGCCTGGAGCCCCCCATTCCCACAACCAAAAGGCAAGCCAGAGCCAGCCAGCAGGGTCCCCCTGAGGTTTGCAGAAGGCTCATCCCATCACACCCAGCTGTCCACAGCCACATGCTACAGCCCTGGCAGGCCCCGTCCCACATGCTGGCAGGTCACATCCCCTATCCTGGCAGGCCCATTCCCACTCCCATCCCAGCAGGCCCTGTCCCCCCCGTTCCAGCAGGTCCCTTCCACCTCCTTCCAGCAGGCCCCGTCTCCCATCGGGGGAAAGTGAGCAGCCCTGGCGCTGGCAGCACAGCTGGGGCAGAGCAGTTTGTCCCCCCAAGCCCTGATACCTTTAACATCTGCATCCGAGGCCAAAATAAAGGCTCCCAAAGGCTGGTGGCTCCCCCAACCCACACCTGGTCGCTGGTTCCCACCTCTGGGAGCGCTACAAGTGGGACACCAGCACAGGAGAGCCGAGAAGGGGGCAGGCTGGCAGGGGGCTGGGCGCAGGGCTGGGCATCCCCTGGGCGCACCCTTGGCCAAGCAGGACTTGCCCCCAGCCTTACAGAGCGGGTGTTGGCAGAGGAGCCATGGAGCAGAAGCCACACTTCTCCAGGGGCTCCTGGGCCTGCCCCAGGGCTTCCCTCCCAGTGCCCAGATGCTGCCAGCTTAGTCTCTGTATCCCTGGGTGTTGGAGAAGGCAGTGGACAAGAAGTTTCCAGCCTCTTGGCTGCCCCCAGCCTTCACCATGGCCTCACCCCCACCTTAGGGCCTGCAGTGTGGGTGAAGCTGAGCCCGTCTCTGATCCCGACCCCCAGGTGGCTGATGGGGCCCTGACCAACCAGCTGGCACTGCTGCTCCTGGGCAGGAGCGACTCTCTCTACCCAGCACCAGGGTACGCGGCCCGTGTACACAGGTGGGTCCCTCCTGCGCCCCCACCACAGCCCTGGGCAGGCACTTCCTGGACCCCTTCCCTCTCCCTTCCCTTCAGTGGTTGCAGTTCCGCCCCCAGCTGGGCCCTCAACAGCCCCAGACCCTGCCACCCCCACCCTCGGCCCCATGCCCAGTCCTGGGCTCTTCTTCTCTGTCCCTGTCCTTCCCTCTGCCGAACCTGTCATCTTCGGGGCTGGCTCAAGTCCCTCTTCTACACCCCGTCCCTTGGGTCCTTCTCTCCAAAGGCCCGTCCTGGTTCCACTTTGAGCTGGGGCCCCAAGGCCAGTGCAGGTGCCAGCCTTCTCCCCAGTGAGGTGAACAGTTCCTCTAGGGATGGCGATCATCTGTTAACGTCCCTGTCTGAGGGTGCAGCCTGCACCTGCCACTGACACTTCCTGGCTCCCTCAGGACCCTTGGCCTGGATGGGGTAGGGGATGGGGACAGGGTCAGGCGTCTGCACAGAGCAAGCATGGACCCGGCTCTTGGGCAGGGTGCTGAGCTCCCAGTTCCTGGCCCTGTGTAAGCTGAAGCCCTCGCTGGTGGTGGAGCTGGCGAGAGACCTCCTGGAGTTCCTGGGCAGCGTGAATGGCCTCCGAGGCAGGGCGAGCCTCGTCACCAGCGTGGTAAGGCAGGCGCTGGCTTCCCTCCACCACTCCTGACCCAGGAGGCCTGGGTGGGGGCTGAGCCTGTGTCCCTGGGCCTAGGTGTGGGCCATCGGCGAGTACCTGTCGGTGACCTACGATCGGAGGTGCACCGTGGAGCAGATCAACAAGTTCTTCGAAGCCCTGGAGGCCCTGCTGTTCGAGATCACCCAGTGCCGCCCCTCTGCCACCCTGCCTGGCTGTCCCCCACAGGTAGGTCACTGTGCTGATGACGACGCTGACGAAGCTGGCCTCCCGGAGCCAAGACCTGATCCCCAGGTGCCTGGGCGGGGAGGCAGAGAGGCCTTCTGGCTTTCTGGGGAAGGAAGAGCTGAGGCGTCTGAGGTCTTCCTGTCCAGGTGTCTTGAAATGACCTCAGCAGCTCAGGTCCTGGGTGGGCGAAGCTGGCCGGGCTGGGGTGGGTCCTGCTGAGCTAAAGCCACTGTGGCTGGGTGCTGTGGGGCTTGGCCCCTCCACACAGACGCTATCCCTGCGAGGGGAGTATCTGCAGCTCACGGCTGGGACCCTCTTCCCCAGGACCTCTCTGTTGCTGTCAAAGATGAGGAACCTGGCTCAGAGCCCGGCCACGAGCTCCACGCACAGTGAGGAGGGCGTGGAAGCCATCCGCACCCGGGCCACGGAGCTGCTGACCCTGCTGAAGATGCCCAGTGTGGCCCAGTTCGTGTTCACGCCCAGCGCGGAGGTGTGCAGCCCCCGCTATCACCGCGATGCCAACACAGCCCTGCCCCTGGCTCTGCGCACAGTCAGCCGGCTGGTGGAGAGGGAGGCCGGACTCCTGCCAGGGTGAAGGGACAGTGGCCAGGGATGCTGGCGCAGATTAAGAACCTGGGGCCACCAGCTTGCTGTTAGGGCCAAGCTGTCAGCTTTTGTGATGGAGAGGAACTCAGGAGGGCACGGGAGTCCTGGGAGAGAGGCAGGGCCCAGGCTGCGCTTGGTGCCCTTAGCGACACTCAGAGCTGGCCCCCTGTTCACCCTCTGGGCTTTGTCTCCGAGCTTTTTGCTCCTCGGCCATGCTGAGCTGAGCTGAGCTGAGCTGAGGGGAGCTGTGGAGCGGCTCTGATGGGAGGCTGAGGCCTTGTGGCTGGGCTGGGTGGAGGCTGCCGGGTCTGTTTCCTAGTCTTTGTTCTTGGGCAGTTTAGGGGCAGGAAAAGGTGCAATAAAAATAAATATCCTTTAACAAGTGTCTCTGTGAACAGTGCCCTGCACCCTGGGGAGAGGGCCAGGGATGGGAGCCCCTGCAGCTGCTGCCAGTCCTGGGGGCTCTGCCAGGCCAGGCTGCTGCCAGCTGCTGCTGAAAACGGCATTCATGCACTGTGCAGAAGGCAGTGGCGCGAGTTCCCAGGGGGTGGTCACTCTGCTGCGCGGTGTGCTTAGTCAGTACCCGTTTTGATGCTCTTGAGAAAAGGGCCCGGGAGGGCTGCAGGTGCCGTGGCCTGTGCAGCCTCAGCCTCCGGCCATTCGGAGGGGAAGGCCAGGGAGCCACCTGCACGAGGGCTGTGCTCAGAGCGCTGGCTTCGCGCGAAGGGGAGCGCCTGAGGAGGCGGCACCGGCCCCGCCAACTTCCCGGGCCCTGCACTCCTATCCGCCGGGCCATTGAGGCACAGCTTTGTCCGGCGTTCTGCCTGGCGCCTAGGACGGGCTCAGCCACCAGGGGGCGCCATTGCCCCGCGAGCCTCGCGTCCCACCCCCGGCTCTGGCTCCGCCTCCGGCCCACGTTTTGCTCTGGCCCCGCCACCTCCCCAGATTCCCCACGGCTTCGCGGCCAAAAACCACCAGCTGAAGATGGCCAGGGGATCCTGCCCCTAGCCCGGCTTTTGGACTATGGAGAGGGCGGGTGACGCAGGGGGCGGAGCAGGGGACACCGTGCGGGCTCTGGAGCTCCCCAGACGCTCAGGCCGAACCCGCTGGGTCCTCACCGCCAGGTTCCAGCCCAGGAAGTGCTCCCCTGCGCCGCAGCCTGGGGTCGCGTTCTGAGCTCCAGGGCGGATGGTGTCCCCCGCGGCCGGGCGGGCTGGGCCCAGAATAGCCCGGGGCCGCAGGAAAGGCATGCGCTGGCAGGCGCTTCCGTCGGCTGTTTGTGTTTCCACGTGGAAACAGCAGCGCACGTGTAGAACTGTGCACACCGAGGTGTGCGTGCGCACGTGCATGTATGTGCGCAGGTCTCGGGATAGCTTCCCCGTGCGCTGCACGACCCCGCCAGCAGCAGAGGGTGTGAAGGCGCTGCTGGGCCCATCCTGAAGTTCAGAGAGCGCGGTGACGCCCCTAGCCTTAAAATGAGTCTCCCACGGAGTCCCCAGCTCCCCTCCTGCCCTGAGGCGGGGCTTCACTGACCTGAAGACGTCGGTGCTATCCTGGCTCCCAGCTCCCAGGCACTGATGGGGCCACCGCCCAGGCCACCTGGTGCTACTCCCGCAGCCTGTGCAGCTGCGCCGGGCTTAGGACGGGGGAGTGTGGCTTGCAGGGCTGTCCAGTTCATCTTGGTGACTCCGAGGGCACGACCCCAGCCCAAGGAGGAGCGGCCTCCTGGGGGGATTCCAGGAGACAGCTGGGAAAAGGGCAGAGCTCACCAGCTCTCAACTGTTTTTAAAATAAACTTTAAAATTTTAGAATAGTTTCAGATTTACAGAAAAGATAATGAACCTTAGAAACGTTATACAAGTGAAAGAATGCAAACCCTAGGTCACATGTTGCATGACTTCATATTATGTCAGAGGCGCTGGAACTAGAGCAACTCCATCTTGAATGGCAGCTGGGTAAAACCAAGCTGAGACCTACTGGGCTGCATTCCCAGGATAGGACATTCTTCGTCTCGGGATGAGATAGGAGGGCTGCACAAGATGCAGGTTCAAGATACAGGTCACGAAGACACTCCTGACAAAATAAGATGCTGTAGAGAAACTGGCCAAAACCCACCAAAACCAAGACAGCAACCACGGTGATCTCTACTCATCCTCGCTGCTCATTATGCACTCATTATAATGTATTAGCATGCTAAAAGGCACTCCCACCGGCACAGTGATAGTTTCCTAATGCCACGGCAACATCAGGAAGCTACCCTATATAGTCTAAAAAGGGGAAGGACCTTCAGTTCCCGGAAATCTTCATCCCTTTCCTAGAAGACTCGGAATAGTCCACCCCTTGTTTAGCATATAATCAAGAAATAACTCTTAAGTATACTCAGTCTGGCAGCCCACCCTGCTGCTCTGTCGATGGAGTAGCCTTTTTTTCTTTTTTCATTTTTTTTGAGACAGAGTTGTTCTGTTACCCAGGCTGGAGTGTGATGACACAATCTCAGCTCACTGCAACCTCCACCTCCTGGGTTCAAGCCATTCTCCTGCCTCAGCCTCCCGAGTAGCTGGTATTACAGACACCTGCCACCATGCCCAGCTAATTTTTTTTTTTTTTTTTTTTTTTTGACAGAGTCTTGCTCTGTCACCCAGGCTGAAGTGCAATGGTGCGATCTCAGGTCACGGCAACCTCTGCCTCCCAGGTTCAAGCAATTCTTCTGCCTCAACCTCTCAAGTAGCTGGGATTACAGGCATGAGCCATCACGCCCGGCCGGCCCCACTAATTTTTATATTTTTGGTAGAGGCGGGATTCACCATGTTGGCCAGGCTGGTCTCCAACTCCTGACCTCAGGTGATCCCCCGCCCCCTAACCTTGGCCTCCCAAAGTGCTGGGATTACAAGCATAAGCCATCATGCCCGGCCAGCCCAGCTAACTTTTTTACTTTTAGTAGAGGCGAGAGTCACCATGTTGGCCAGGCTGGTCTCGAATTCCTGACCTCAGGTGATCTGCCTGCCTCAGCCTCCCAAAGTGCTGGGATTAGAGGCATGAGCCACCTCGCCTGGCCAATTGTTTTGTTTCTTTATATTCTTAATAAACTTGCTTCCACTTGATGAACTTGCCCTGAATTCTTCTTTCTCTTGGGGTCTGGATCAGGACCCCTTTCTGGTAACCCTGAGGTAAGATATCCACAAGACGTGTAGCCACAGAGGCAGAAGGTGGGTCTGTGGTTGCCAGGGCCTGGGCACAGGAGGGAATGAAGAGTGCCTGCTGAGTGGCCATGTTTTCTCCTTTGCAGGTGACGACAATGTTTTAAAACTAGACAGTGGCAATGGTTGCATAACACTGTGAATGTGCTACATGCCACTGAATTACGTACTTTAAATAGTTAACTTTATGTAAATTTCACTTTAAAAAGTGGTAACAACTGAATACTGTACAAAGTGTAGCTGGTATATTAATAGTAACAAGTCAATGTCAGTTTTCAGGCTTTGCTGCCATGTGGCAGTGGGAAAAGCTGGTGGAGGTACACGAGACTCTGCTATTTTTATGACTTCCTTTGGATCTATAATTACGTCAAAATAAAATGCTTTTAAAACACAAAAACAGGCCAGGTGCAGTGGCTCACACCTGTAATCCCAGCACCTTAGGAAGCCAAGGTGTGAAGATCACCTAAGTCCGGGAGTTCGAGACCAGCCTGGCCAACATGGTGAAACCCCGTCTCTACTAAAAATACAAATTTTAGCTGGGCGTGGTAGCAGGCACCTGTAATCCCAGCTACTCAGGAGGCTGAGACAGGAGAATTGCTTGAATCTGGGAGGCACAGGTTGCCATGAGCTGAGATCACACCATTGCACTACCAGCCTGGGCAACAGAATGAGACTCTTGTCTCAAAAATATTAAATATATTTTTATATAATAAAATATATATTTATATAAATATATATCAAATATATATACACATACACAAATATCTATATTTTATCCAGTGTTTTAGGAACCTGGCAGTGGGCAGCCACTTGGAGCCAGGCGCAATGCGTAGCTGCAGACTGCAGGTCCACACAGGGTGCCAGGCGGACACACTGCACCTCGCCGCAGTGCACACCAGAGGGCAGCATGGAGCTGCGCGAGGCCCCGTGTCTGGGACGGGCCCAGGACACTGGTTTGGGGACCCCGCGCAGACCCCTGGCCATGTGAGGGGGGCATCTGCAACTGACTGGCAGGGACCCTCTTCCCCAGGGCCTCTCTTTTGGTATCAAAGATGACCCTGGGCCACCAGCTCCACCACAGTGAGGAGGGCGTGGGAGCCGGGCCACAGAGCTGCTAACCCTGTTGAAGATGCCCAGCCAGCCCCGCTGTCACCGCGAGGCCGGCAGGGCCCTGCCCTGGCCCTGCGCACGGTCAGCCGGCTGGTAGAGAGGGAGGCCGGCCTCACCTCGTCAGGGCCGGTGGCCAGGGGAACGCCGGTGAGGATAAGAGCCTGGGGCCGGCAGCCTGGTATTAGGGCCAAACTGGTGGCTTTAGTTGGGAAGAGGCACTCAGGAGCGAGCAGGAGTCCTGGGGGAGGAGGCAAGGACCAAGGTGGGCTCTGGGCATCGGAGACCATCAGGCCCGTTCACGTTCCAACCCCTGGGTTTCTAGACCTTTCTCTGGGGCCTGTGCTGAGCAGCAGAATTAGAAGCCCAGCAGCCTCTATGGCGGGTCTGGTCCCTGTGCTGGCTGGGAGGAGCTGCTGGGGCTGCTTCCTGCTGTGCCCTGTGTCGGGGTGGGGCAGGGGCAGGGAGAGGCAGTTTAGATGATCCTGACGACAGCTGTCACCGCATCTTCCCGCACTGGCAGGTAGAGGCCACAGGGAGCCCCCTGCATCCCCTCTGAGCGGCCCACACCTGCTGCCCGAGATGAGATCCCAGCAGGTCACCCTCTAAGAACAAGAAAAATAGTTTACTGAATCTGTACTTTCTCCATTAAAGTCTTTAAACATAAAAGCTCTGTAACAAACATCACAACTTTGCGTCATCTACCATATAAATAAAACCTCCACTGAGATGCAGGTTATCAACAGGTGAGGCTGCCCACCCGGGCACCCAACTCGGTCAGTTACAAAACAGGGACAAGGCAGGAGGAAGCCCGGTGTCAGTGGGTGGGACAGGGCGCTGGGCGTGCGGGGGTGCCTTGCGGCCCCCTAGAGAGGGGGCGTGCGGATATGGATCTTCTTGGCTGTTTCTACGTCAGACTTGGCGACCAGGAACCGCATCTTCTTCCCCCCATGGCGGATCAGGTCCACGGCTCTGAAATCCACGCCAGAGGTGAGGCTGGGCAGGGGGGCACCAGGGAGGCCCCACGGGGTGTAGCCCAGTCTCTCCTGCCGCCCCAGGTCCCCTCCCCTGAGCAGGGTGTCCGGGAGGAGCAGTGGGGCGTGCAAGCAGCGGGGGTACCTCAGGTAGCCGAGGCCCAGGAGGCTGCTGCCGTTCACCTCCAGAATGCGGTCTCCCAGCGACAGGCGCCCATCGGCTGCTGCAGGGCTGCCCGGGAGCAGGGTCTGGATGTAGAGCCCGGGGGTGCCCAGGCGTGTGTGCTGGGGACAAGCAGAGGCCTCAGGGTTCTCTGCAAGCAGTCTGACACTCACTATCCCCAGCGAGGACACTCGCAGTCCCTCCCTTGGCACCAACAGGTCCCCATGGCATCCAGCCAGGCCCACTCATGGTTGTCACACGGCCCTCCAGAAAAGCAGTGGACACCACCATCCCCACAGGCCCAAGACAGACCCTGAAGGCTTGAGGACAGAAGCAAGAGACAGCAGGCCCAGGGGGTGTGGCCATTGGACAGGCTGGGTCCTCCATCCCAGCTACAGGGGGCCACCCCACTCTCCTCCCCAAAGGCCTTCGTGAGGCCATGTGGCCACTCAAGTTGCAGCCAGGCTTCAGTGAATGGAGCCAGGCAGCCTGCATGGGGGTGGGGCAGGGGCCTGGGCCACTCACCATCCCATCGATCAGGCCCATTCCCAGCCCCGAGGGGCCTCGTTCCAGCTCTACCATGAAGACATAGCAGAAATCCTCGGTGCTGGAGCTGCGGCTGGAGGGGGCTGGAGGGGACTCGTCCTCGGGGGCTGCAGAGTCTCCTGGGTGGGGGCCAGGAAAGTTGGGTGGGAATGAGGAACCAGGAGTCAGGACGAGGAACGAGATGTCCTGGTCGGGCTGCCTCTTCGGGGGGCCAGGGACAGGGAAGGCCTCCCGTGGCTACCAGGAGACACCGTTCAGGTGGAGTGCAAAAGGAAACCCAGACATCAGGGCTGGGGTCCGCCTGTGGGTGACACCCCCATGTGCCCTGAAGGAGCACCTCAGTCCCCGCCTCCGGTAGCCCCACAACACTGCCCCTCTCGGGAACAGCTGTTTTTAGGCTCCAGGGCCCCCATGCATTCTATGCCGCCGCCTCCTCCCTCCACACCCAGATGTGACTACGTGCATCCGAGGGTTCCCACCACTGACCAGGCCTGGACCCCAGGCCCTAGCCCAACCCAGCCCAATCACCTGCCATGGGGGCACTTAGGTCAGAGATAAGCTGTGCACCTGGGCAGGTGGCCTGCCTGGGACCCAGCTCAGCCAGGTGGCCTCAAGCCACAGGGCACACTCTGGACTCTGCACACACACCCAGGACACTGTGCTCCTGCAGGGCACACCCAAGCCCTCACCAGGGGCCAGGGCCAGCTGGGTATGCTTCACCCTCAATGCCCTCCCCAGCCTAACCCAGCTGCACACACACACTCATGCACACACATGCATTTACACCCATGGGCACTACTCATGCACACACGCATATGCGCACACACACAAGCACACACACGCATATGCACAGATGCACATGCACAAGCACATCCATGCACACGTTGAGCACACCTATCCACACGAACAGGCCCTGCCCCAGAGGGTTCCAGCTCCACCTCCTCCCTGAAGACCGCTGGGTTCCCCCTCAGCACATCCTCTCCACCGGCTCAGCCATCCCTTCCTCCTCCCGGTGCTGGAGTGACTCAGCACTTTCTAAACCCCGTCCCTCCCAGATCACAGACATGTCAGCGACCACTCGACCCAGCAGCGGTGTGGCTGAGCTGTCCCGAGTCCTCTCCATCTGGCCCCCATCCCAGGATGCAGGTGTCCGTGGGGCAGGTGCTGAAACCCAGGACGCTGAGGATGGAATCACCTTGAGGGGACCGGCCATCAGGGTGCTGTGCAGGGTGTGGGGTGGGTGGCCAACCTGGGCACTGGGCAGGCCTCACCTTCCGAAGCTGCGCCCGGGAGGCCTCTGGGTCCGTTCCTCTGCCTTTCTGGGAGCACTTTGCCACACGGGCCGCCGGGCACTGGCCAGCCGGGGTCCCTGGGCTCAGGGCCCAGTGGAGTGCTGGGAGGCGTGAGCAAGCAGGATGAGTCCTTGTGTGGGGGGCCAGCCTGGGAGCCCCCACGGCCAGGCTGCCTTCCAGAGGGGGCCTGTGCCCAGGGAGCCCCCCTCAAGGGAAGAGTACGCTCCGAGGCGGCTTCCCGGGCTGCTGGACCAGGGTCCCTGGAGGCCAGGGGGCAGCTCGGGGCCTCCAGGTGCCCCTCAGGGATGGCGTGGTGTACATCCTGGGGAGAGGAAGGGCAAGAGCTCAGGCAGAGGAGGGGTGGCCAGGTAGGCACAGCACTCGGGTGACTGAGGGGCAGCTTGCAGGCAGAAGGGCCATCAGGCAGGAACAGAGTCAGAAAAGCACTCCTGGCAGCCCATGCAGCCTGACATGGTGCAAGAGGCCAGGGGGCTCCTCTGCCATCGGAAGCATGGCCTGGGCTGGGCCAGGACTCCCAGGGCCCCTGGAGCTCCTGCCTGCTGTCCCCAGCCCAGCTTCCAGGCCCTCTCCTGTCCTCCTGCACTGGGGCACGCTGGCTGGGCCCCTCCCTGGGTACCTCGGGGCATGCTGGCTGGGTCCCTCCCCAGGTACCTCCGGGCAGGCTGGCTGGGGGGCCCCACTGCCAGGACTGGCTCTGCTCCGCAGGCCCCACAGAAAGTGGCGGATGTAGAGCAGATGCTGGTAGATGCTGTCATCCAGGCAGTCAGCTTCCAAGTCCACCTGGAAGCCCTCGCTGGGCAGGACGATGGGTGGCGGGTTTTCATAGGACTCCAGGACGTCCTCTGTAGGGAAGAGAGGATGCTCGTGATGGGTGAACCTGCCTCCCTCACCAGGCTGCCCCGCCCAGTGCTGTAGGAACCCAGGGACCAGGAGATAAAGCCAAGTCCCTTGACCTGTGGACACAGGAGGCTGAGATCCTGGCCACAGTGACCAGTCCCACCCTGGCTCTCATCCCTTCTGAATCCCCGCTGACCACCTGGTATGAAGTCCGAGCATCTGAGGACCGAGAATAGGGCCTTGTGGCCAGGAACCGTCCAGCCCCACTGAGCTGCTCTGTACCCAGGCCTATCTCTGCCCTGCTGGAGTCCCCAGGTTAACTGGAGCTCCTCTGGCCCCGCTGAGCTGACCCAAGCTCCTCCCAGGGCTGGAGCCAACTGCCTCCCTGCAGGCTTCGTGGGACCTGAATGGTCTATGTCCAGGCTGGTCTTTGTCCCTGGGAACACGGGCGCCTTTCAGGAGGTGGAAGAGCTAGGTGCACACTGAGCTCCTAGCTCCCAGCACAGCCTGCCACATAGCAGGCCACAAAAATGACTCAATGGGGAAGGTGGACGCCCACACCCAGTGCCAGGTGACCCAGGGCTGTGGGACAGCATCCAAGGCCCCATCGCCTCTGCCATCCTGTACTGTTTTGTTGATGTGTTTACATATAACGCTAATGAAGGAAAATGTGTGAATAATCTACACGTTAAAATGCACCCCTGGCCGAGTGCGGTGGCTCACGCCTGTAATCCCAGCACTTTGGGAAGCCAAGGCAGGCAGATCAATTGAGATCAGGAGTTCGAGACTAGCCTGGCCAACATGGTGAAACTCTCTCTACTAAAAATACGAAAATTAGCTGAGCGTGGTGGTACGCATCTGTAGTCCCTGCTACTTGGGAGACTGAGGCAGGAGAATGGCTTAAATCTGGGAGGCAGAGGTTGCAGTGAGCCAAGATTGCACCACTGCACTCCAGCCTGGGTGACAGAGCAAGACTATCTCAGTAAGTAACTAAGTAAATAAATAAATAAATAAAATTTACCCTTGGCTGGGCTAGGTGGCTCATACCTGTAATCCCAGCACTTTGGAAGGCCAAGGCAGGCGGATCACCTGAGGTCAGAAGTTCAAGACCAGCCTGGCCAACACTGTGAAACCCTGTATCTACTAAAAATACAAAAATTAGCTGGGCATGGTGGCATGCACCTGTAACTCACCTACTTGAAAGGCTGAGGCAGGAGAATCGCTTGAACCTGAGAGGTGGAGGTTGCAGTAAGCCAAGATTGTACCACTGCACTCCAGCCTGGATGACAGAGTGAGACTCTGCCTCAAAAAATAAAATAAATACAACGCACCCGTATGAATGCGTGTACACATACATACGCACGCAGACCCCTCCGTGCGGAAGCCTGTGTGTGCACGTACACAGCACAGGTGCTCAGGGATGCCTCCCCACGGCCATGTGCCGCCTCTGCTCCCTTCCTGCGCAGCCATGTAGCCGGGGAGGGCCCATCCTCCAGCTTCATGAAGAATGAGGGGACCCGGGGCCTGAGCCTGGAGATTGGAACTTGGGCGAGGACTCGGCTTCTTGACCATCCACTGTGGAGGTCCCCAGGTCGGGGATGGGGCAGGGGGTCTTCCAGGTGGAGGCTTCTCCAGGGAGGTCCCCAGAAGGAAGGGCTTCCACACTCACTTCAGATGAGATCAGAGCTCAGGCTGCCTCCAGGCTCCGTCCAGCTCGGAGCAAGTCTCCCACCGAGTCCCCAGCCCCTTCCTGCCCTGGGGTGGGGCTTACCTGACCTGAAGGCGTCGGGGCTGTCCTGGGTCCCTGGCTCCCAGACGCTCATGGGGCCCATGGCCGAGGCCAGCTGGTAGTGAGTCAGCAGCCGGTGCAGCTGTGCTGGGCTCAGGGCAGGGAATGCGGCCCGCAGAGCTGCCCAGCTCATCTGGGTGACAAGAAGGAGCTCATGGTCACAGGCCTCTGGGGTCGGACCCCAGCCCAGGGAGGGGCAGCCTCCACAGGTGGCTGGGAGTGGTCGGCTGAGGGGCGCTGTGGTCCTCAGTCTCACCAGGGGCCATCTGTGAGGGGGACGGTGTCACAGCAGCAGTTCACCCCGGCACTTCCTGACAGCTGCTCCAGGGAGAGGCCGGCAGGTGCCATTGCGAAGCCCGTGCCCAGGGAACCCACCCCCATCTCAAGCAAGTGCCCACCTTACACTGCAGCCACCAACCAGAGAAACCACTGCTGGGAAACGAGCAGTGAAATCCAATTCCTACCGCCAACGGCGGAAAAGAAGTCAAGTCAGTCAAGTCGGCTAAAGTCCTGACTGGAAGGCAGGAACATTCATCACCCAGGTGACAGGAGGCAGGGAAAGCATTTTGTTGTTGTTTTGTTGTTTTAGGTTGGGGTGCAGTTGCTCCGTCATAGCTCACTGCAGCCTTGACCTCCCAGGATCAAGTGATCCTCCCACCTCAGCCTCCTGAGTAGCTGGGACCACAGGCATACACCATTATGTCCAGCTAATTAGTTTTGCTGTTTCTTTCTTTCTTTTTTTTTTTTTTTTTTTTTTTGAGATGGAGTTTCGCTCTTGTTACCCAGGCTGGAGTGCAATGGCGCGATCTCGGCTCACCGCAACCTCCGCCTCTTGGGTTCAGGCAATTCTCCTGCCTCAGCCTCCTGAGTAGCTGGGATTACAGGCACACGCCACCATGCCCAGCTAATTTTTTGTATTTTTAGTAGAGACGGGGTTTCACCATGTTGACCAGGATGGTCTTGATCTCTTGACCTCGTGATCCACCCGCCTCGGCCTCCCAAAGTGCTGGAATTACAGGCTTGAGCCACCACCGTGCCCGGCCTTTTTTTTTTTTTTTTTTTTTGGTAGAGATGGGGGGTCTCACTATGTGGGTCTCAAACTTCTGGCCTCAAGCGATCCTCCTGCCTCAGCCTCTCAAAGTGTTGGGATTACAGGTGTGAGCAACTGTACCCGGCCTGGGAAAACTTTCCAGGCAAGTCAAAAAACATCTGCCATAAGGAAAGGGTGAATTCTTCCCATGAAATTAAACAGCCTGTGTGCCCCCTGGGACTTCTGTCATTGTCCTTCTGGGGTTCCCTTCCTGGCCCCCAGCTGGTTCTTGTTTTCTGGAATTTACTTCAGCTCTCTGGTTCGTCCTGTTTCCATAGAACAGATCTTCTAATAGCTTCTCGAAAGGGGCACTCACAGGAAAATCACTGCTCCGAGGGCTGGGAGTCTTCATCCCCACCCTGGACCGGTCCTCTGGCTGGCCCAGAACTCCAGGCCAGAGGGTGTCACCGTTTGGATTCTGCAGGCACCGCTTTGTCCTGCGACTCCCATGCTGCTCTGCCGAAAGCATCCTGAGTGCAAATCTTCAGGACGGGCCTTGCAGTGATTCCTCTCTGGAAGCCTGTGGTTCTCGGTGCCCAGCATCCTGTAGTCCTGGGATTCAGAGTTTGGGCACAAACCCTGGCCTGGCCCAGCCTCCAGGGCCTCACCCTCTCTGTGGCTCCCACTGTTTGGATACCAGCCTCGCTGATGGGGCCTCCCTGTTCTCACCTTTGCTTCCTCTGTTTCTCTCCCAAGTTTTACTGCCAAAATCCAGGGGCCTGGGCTGCGGCTACCAGCTGTCCATGCTGATGGACAGTCGGTGTCAAGAGCCTTGTGTGGGAGGGGTGAGGGCACAGCACCACCCCCCAGCCTCAGAAGGTCCTCCTTCAACACCTCCACCTGCCAACACCCTCACCCACACACATCCCAGTTCAAGAAAGCCTCTGGTTTGCCCGGGGGTGGTTCTGTTTAATTGTGAGTTCCTAGAACTGTGTCTACTCTCACTTCTGTGATTGGTCCAGGGTTAGTGTCAGAGGGGGCCAGCTGTCAGTGCCGAGAGATCAGCTTTAAGGAAACAGAACCCTCTCCCCTCCCTCCCACCTGTCTTTCTCTCCCTCCCTCCCTCCATCTCTCTCTCCCTCCCTGTTTCTCTCCCTTCCCTCCATCTCTCTCCCCTCCTCCTCTCCCTCCCTCTCCCCCTCCCTCCATCTCTCTCCCTCTCTTCATCTCTCCCCTCCTCCTCCCTCTTCCTTTTTTCTTCCCTTCTCCCCCCTCCTTCTCTCTCAGTGTCTCTTTCTCCCTTCTTACCCCCACTCCCCCATCCCTCCAGCCCTCTCTCTCCCTGCTCCTCGCCCTCCTCTCTGGTGGTCTCTGATCTTGGGAGCTTTGCTTCCCACCCTCTACACAGCGTTTTATTTCTGTTTCTACAGTTTTATTTTCCAAGACTCCTCTTGTTCTCTCATGGATAGAATCCTATTATTATTTTATGGATACTATATCTTCTCTTATTTTTATGAGGCTATAAATGGCTTTTTCACCAAGACTCTGCCTGAATTGTTCATTTCAGGAGTCATCAAACTAGGCCCAGCGAGACCTATTTTTAAAGGGCCCCCAAGCTAGGTTTTCACATTTTAAAGGGGTTTGGAAAAAAAAAACAAAGAAGGAGATGGGACAGAGACAAGGCCCCCACAAAGCCCGAAGTCCTCACAGCCTGGCCCTTCAGAGAAGATGCCTGCGGGCCCTGGGCTGCTCCTTCCCGAGCCACCGGACCCTCCTCATCTCCTTTAGACACTCTGTTAGGGTGTGGGGTACAGGGAGGGCACTTCCCGGCCTCGGTGTGGGCTGGCCTGGCTGCTTCTGAAAAATCCCTGGTGCCTTCCTTCGCCCCCCGGGGCTGTCACTGCTGATTCAAGCCTGCCCATCTCCCACAGGGGTGCTCAGGTCTGCTGCCAAGTGGGGCGAGAGGCTGGGGCCCCCTTTTCAGCATGGGGTTCCTGCCCTCAGCTTGGCCTAGGTTCCCCAGCCAGGAGATCTGTTTTCAAGGTTCTAGAAATGTCCCCACACAGTTGTGCAGGGGGAAGCAGAGATCCTGAATGTTGCTGCTGCTTCCTTTCCGTGTACACAGAAAACTACACACCTGACACACACAACTCATCGAGTTCTCCCAGAAGAACACACCTGTGTACCCAGCCCCGAGAACCAGAACCAGAACATGGGCAGCAGCAGCTCAGCGGCCGCAGGCCCCTCCAGCGCCACGGCAGTCCCCGGCCACTTCCAGCCCTGCAGGCGCGCTCACTGCACCTGACTCCATCAGCTCAACCTCCCCTTTCAGGAGTATTTTATATCTTATTTTATTTATATTACTTATTTATATAGAGATGGAGTCTCGCTCTGTTGCCCAGGCTGGAGTGCAGTGGTGCCTCCTCAGCTCATTGCAACCTCCATCTCTCGGGTTCAAGTGATTCATGCATCTCAGCCTCCTGAGTAGCTAGGACTACAGGCATGCACCACCACACCTGGCTGATTTTTTTTTTTTTTTTTTTTGAGACAGAGTCTCACTCTGTCGCCAGGCGCCAGGCTGGAGTGCAGTGGCACAATCTCGGCTCACTGCAGCCTCCGCCTCCTGGGTTCAAGCAATTCTTCCGCCTCAGCCTCCCAAGTAGCTGGGACTACAGGCACACGCCACCACGCCCAGCTAATTTTTTTGTTTTTAGTAGAGACGGGGTTTCACCACGTTGGCCAGGCTGGTCTCGATCTCTTGACCTCGTGATCCGCCCACCTCGGCCTCCCAAAGTGCTGGGATTACAGGCTTGAGCCACCACGGCCAGCCGACCTGGCCAATTTTTATATTTTTAGTCAGGCTGGTCTCAAACTCCTCACCTCAGGTGATTGATTGCCTTGGCCTCCCAAAGTGCTGGGATCGCAGGTGTCACCCACTGTGCCCAGCCTTACTTATTTTATCATTTTATGACAGGGTCTTGCTCTGTCACCCAGGCTGGAGTGCAGCAGCGCGATCACAGCTAACTGTAGACCTCCCGTGCTTAAGTGATTCTCCTGCCTCAGCCTCCCGAGTAGTTGGGAACTATAGGCGCATGCCACCATGCCTGGCTAATTAAGAAATCTCTGTTTTTGTAAAGATGGATGGGGGTCTCACTGTGTTACCCAGGCTGGTCTCGAACTCCTGGGCTTGTGATCCTCCTGCCTTGGCCTCCCAAGCCCTCCTGCCTTGCCCGGCTGACAGTTGAGATTTGCCTGTGGCTCCTCAGAAGGAGTTTGCTCAGTCACGTTGCTCTGCCGTATTTCACTGTACTGAAGATACCACTTTGTTCATCCCTCATGTTGTTGATAAATATCATATGGGTTTTTCCCAGGCTGGGGCAGTTAAAAGTGGTGCCACTGGAAGCATCCCTAAGCAGGCAGTGGTGAGGGACCCACAGAAGCATATCCTTCCGGGGAACTGCTCAATCACAGCACATGCATTGGCTCAGCTTCCAAAGTGGTGAGGCTCATTTACAATCTCACCAGGAACACCTGAGGGTTCAAACCACCACCTCCCCACCAGGACCGCTTTTCTTTATCTCAACCATTTTGATGTGTTCAGTGTTTAAAACTGAGATTAGGCCGGGTGCGGTGGCTCACACCTGTAATCCCAGCACTTTGGGAGGCCGAGGGGATCAGATCACCTGAGGTCAGGCGTTCCAGACCATCCTGGCCAACATGGTGAGACTTCGTCTCTACTAAAAATAAAAAAATTAGCCGGGCATAGTGGCGTGTCCCTGTAATCCCAGCTGCTTGGGAGGCCAAGGCAGGAGAATCACTAGAACCTGGGAAGTGGAGGTTACGGTGAACCGAGAAGGCACCACTGCACTCCATCAAGCCTGGACAACAGAATGAGATTCTGTCTCAAAAAAAAAAAAATGCCAAAGTTTTGTTTTTGTTTTTGTTTTTGAAGACTAGTCAAGTGAAGCAATGGGAGTGAAGAAACAATAAAATTTGTATCTGGTTGTGATAAATTAGTTATAAACACCAGTGCGCTCAGGCCAGACTCAAACACGGAGACTCTGAGCTGCGTTTCCGTGACGAATGCAGCTGTCCCTCTCTCGTGTCATTCTCCTTTGCTACAACCCCCTTTTCAGGTTTTGGCATCAAGGAATTACTGGTGTTTTAAAGTGAGATAGGGTTTCTTTTCTAGTTTCTGGTAAGAATTTGGGTACTAATGGTATTATTTCTTAAGGTTTAAAATAATTCACCAATGAAACCATCTGGGTCTTGAATCTTCTTCATGAGGAAGTGTTAAAATAATAATTTCCTTTTTTTTTCTTTTTTTGAGACAAGGTCTCATTTCTGATGTCCAGGCTGGAGTGCATTGGCACAATCATGGCTCATTGCAACCTCAATCTCCTGGGCTCGAGGAATCCTCTTGCCTCAGCCCTCTAAGTAGATGGGACCACAGGCATTCACCACCATGCCTGCCTACTTTGTGTGTGTGTATTTTTTGTAGAGATGTAGATTTGCATGCACGTTTTGTAGAGAGAGGCCAAGTTCTGCAGGCTGGTCTTGAACTCATCAGCTCAAGGGATCCTCTTGCCTCAGCCTCACAAAGTGCTGGGATTATGGGTGGGAGCTACCGCACCTGGCCTTTCAGGTTCTTTAACGCATGCAGGACCATTCAGATTTTTAACTTCCTGTTGAATCAGTTTCAGTAAGTATTCTTTTTCTTATTTATTCATTTCATCTAAATAGTCAAATTTATCAGCAAAAAGTTGGTTATGGTCTCCTCTTTCTACTAATTTTTAATTTTTAATGTAGAATCTGGGTGATGTTCTCCTTTTTATTTCTCATACTAGCAATTGTGTTTTCTCTTATTCAACTTTTCTATTTTTATTTTTATTTATTTTTTGAGACAGTCTCACTCTGTCGCCCAGGCTGGAGTGCAGTGGTGTGATCTCAGCTCACTGCAGCCTCCACCTCCAGGGTTCAAGCAATTCTCCTGCCTCAGCCTCCCAAGTAGCTGAGATTACAGGCACATACCCCCACACCCAGCTAATTTCTGTATTTTTAGTAGCGAAGAGGTTTTACCATGTTGGCCAGGATGGTCTCAAACTCCTGACCTCAGGTGATCCACCTGCCTCAGCCTCCCAACGTATTGGGATTACAGGCATGAGCCGCTGTGCTCAGACTCTTATTCAGCTTTTCACACAACCAACCCCTGACTTTATGGCTCATCTCAACCACATTTGTTTCCTAGTTCACTGATTTTTAGCTCTCATCTGTCATCTCCTTCTGCTCTCCTTGCGTTTGATTAGTCGCTCTCTTTCTTGCCTCAGGATTATTCATGATTAGCTTTCCTTAACTTTTCCCCATAAAACTGCCCTAACTGCAGCCCACAGGCTTGGATAGTTTGTATCTTCATTACTGCTGATGAGCTTAATGCTGAGCTGGGGTTGACAAGCTTTCGGTAAGGCTCAGATGGCCTCTGCTGGGTCCTCACCCCAAGGTTTGTTTGTTTCTTTGTTCCTTCCTGCCTTCTTTCTTCCCTCCCTCTCTTCCCTTCCTTCCTTCTTCTTTCTTTCTTATATTCCTCTATTGCCCAGGTTGGAGTGCAGTGGTGTGATCAGAGCTCACTGAAGCCTTGAATTCCTGGACTCAAATGGCTGCCTCAACCTCCCAAGTAGCTGGGACTACAGGCATTTGCCCCATGCCTGCCTCTCGCCCCAGGGTTTCCACTGAGGGCCTGGTGTTTACTTCCCAAGGGGTCCTGGACTCTTCACCTCTGTCTCCTCTGCATTGTGAAACCACCACAGATTCTGCTCTTTTCTTTTTCTGAGACAGAGTTTCGCTCTGTTGCCCAGGCTGGAGTACGGTTTAGCACAATCTCGGCTCACTGCAACCTCTGCCTCCCAGGTTCAAGCAATTCTCCTGCCTCAGCCTCCTGAGTCAGTAGCTGGGACTACAGGTGTGTGCCACCATGCCTGGCTAATTTTTTGTATTTTTAGTAGAGATAGGGTTTCACTGTGTTAGCCAAGATGGTCTCGATCTCCTGGCCTTGTAATCTGTCCGTCTCAGCCTCCCAAAGTGCTGGGATTACAGGCATGAGCCACACACCCGGCCTATACTCTTCTTTTCAAAGTTTCTGGTTTAGTTTTAAAGCCTCGCTCCATCGCACTCCCTGGAGATTCAGAAAGTTGCAAGTGTCTCGGGGAAAATCCGGGCATGCATTTCAGGCCCTGAAGTCTCCGAGCTTATCTCTCGCCTGTGAGATGGCCAGTGCTGTGCTGTTCGGGTTTCTGTTTCCCCAGCAGTAGCCCCTGCCTGGACAAAGCCTGGATTCTCGGCCTCACACCATAACCTGCTCCCAGGACAGCCAATGTCCCCAAGGAAAAGCAACAGGACCCACAGGTCAGCTCTTTGTGAGGCTCACCGCCTGCAGTCTGCCCTCTCCTCATCCTTCAGGAGCTCTCACGCCTTTCAGCCAATGACTGTGTTTCTTTCCGGCTGTGCGAACTGTCCTCAGTGGAACTGCAGGCTCGGCTCCTCCATCCCAGCCCCAGTGCTTTCCACAATGTCGACAGATATTCTCCTGTTTCAGCCCCATCTCGACATCACTACCCAGAGGTACCTGGCGCTACCAATTCCTGAGCCTTTTGGTGGCTTCATGTAAACTGAGTGGCTTCTCGGGAGTCAGTTTATTTTCTTTTTTGTAGAGATGGGGTCTCGTGTTGCCCAGGCTGGTCTCAAACACCTGACCTCAAGTGATCCTCTCACCTAGGCCTCCCAGAGCCCTGGGAGGACAGGCAGGATGAGCCAAGGTGCCTGGCCAAGTCAGCTTTCTTCAGTCTGCTAAGGCAGGTGCTCCTCACCCACCTGCTTTCTGTCTTCCAAAATAGCAATGTCTCCTCTCTACGACTTTGTCCTCATGGGTGCGTGCCATTAAAAAGCATTACTGGCCGGGTGCGGTGGCTCACGCCTATAATCCTAGCACTTTGGGAGGCCGAGATGGGTGGATCACCTGAGGTCAGGAGTTCAAGACCATCCTGGCCATCATGGTGAAACCCCATCTTAAAAAAAAAAAAAAAAGTATATATAAAAAGCATTGCTTTACTTTTGTTCAGTGATACCGTAGGAGAAGCTAACTAAATTCACGTGTTCAATGTAACACGTGGGATTCAGACATCCTCATTTTCTGAATTTTCTTTAGTAAATAAAAATGCTTCACTCTTTTTTTTTTTTTTGAGTCAGAGTCTCACTATGTCGCCCAAGCTGGAGTGCAGTGGCGTGATCTGGCTCGCTGCGACCCCACCTCTCAGGTTCAAGCGATTCGCCCTGTGGCCACTCTTCCCATCACCCCACAGCATGTGAAACTGTCGGCTCATTTCCATTAATGACTGTGTTGGGAAGGGCATGGTGAGTGGCGAGGGAGGTAAGGAGGGGCATGTTGGTTTCCCACTGCCACTGTGACACATGCTCGCACGTGGGGCAGTCTCAGGCACACCAGCGCACGCTCTCACAGCTCTGTGGCTCCGCAGCTCAGCCGGGTCTCACAGAGCGGACAGCAAGAGGAGGGCCCGAGGGCAGGACCTGTCTCCCTGCTCTTCCAGCTGCTGCCAGAATTCGGTTCCTGCAGTTGTAGGACTGAAGTCCCATTTCTAGACTGGCTGTCAGCCAGGGCCACTCCAGCTTTTAGAGGCTGCCACACTGCTCGACCCCTGGTCCCTCCTCCAACTCCAGAGCCATGTCCCCTCTTCTTCCGCTTCTCTCTGAGCCACCCTTCTGGAGTGGACTGGGCCACCCAGACACCCAGGTCATCTCTGAATCTCAAGGTCTTAATTGGAGTCACATTGGGGTCACAGGTCTCAGACATCTTTTGGGCCATTATTCTACCTACCCCAGTTGGAGACAGCCATGGAGTGGAAGCAACCTTGCTAATTACCGCAGGCCTGGTTTGTGAGCCAGGGACCCACAGCATGTGGCCCCGTCCCTCCCCACCTCCCATGTGCCCCCCTACCTGGATGAGCTGGGCCCTGGGTGTGGCCAGCAGGTTGAGGGTACAGGAGAGTTTGCGGAAGAAGTGCTCTCCAGCTGCCCCGAAGCCGGCGCTCCGCATCCACTCCAGGAGCTGCTGCAGGCGGGCGCAGGCCTGGACGCCTCTGGGCCAGTGGAAGCAGCTCAGCGACGGGCCTGTGTAGGGATGGAGGGAGGGTGATGCCCGGGCTATCCTCCCCAGGGACACAGACACAGGCCTGTTCCCAGAGCCTGCCTTCCCTGGCTCCAGGTCACTGAGGACATCACAGCTCCATGACAGGCAGGAGACCTTCCCTAGGTTTCCAAGGCAACTGACCAGCCTCAAACCCCTCTCTGGAGCGGGGGTGCAGTGGGAGATGAATGTAGCAGGGCAGGGTGGGCTGTGAGAGCCACTGACTCCACCGCGCAGCCCCTGGCTGGGACCCTCCCCACCCCCACACACATGTGCCATGGGCTTGCCCTCACCAGGGTCTCCCCGTGCCCCCACAGTGGCCCCGGCTGGGAGTGACCAATGTCCCTGAACCCTGCAGGTGATGGAGGAAGTCCTTCCTCGAGGCAGGGTCCAAGGCCAGTCTACAGCTGCCCAGACCTGGGTTCCATCCTGGCTCTGACGTGTCCACCGGGCAGTTCTGGGACAGTCCGGTGATGCCCTGAGCCCGTTCCCTCCCTGTCACAGGCAAGGGGCCTGGGCAGACCTCTTGGCCATGGCTTCTCTGAAACCCCGATGGGACACTGGCTCCTATGGAATGCACTGTGGCAATCTGTCCCCCCGCCCCCCGGCCTCCCACTCCCCAGGGACACCAGATGCTCAGGAAGCAGGAGCCCCAACAAGGGCAGAGCCGTCCCCAGGAGCAGCGAGGGAGGGGCCGGCAGCTGTCCTGTCTAGGAATGTGAGCCCCCAGCCCCCAGCCCCGCACAAGGCCCTCACCCCTGTCGAGGAGCTGGTTGAGGAGCAGGGTCCCAGAGAAGAAGAAGAGGTAGGCGAGCATCTGTGAGGCCACCTCGGGGTGCACCTGCAGCTGCCGCAGGAGGTCCAGGGCCGCCTGGTACACGGACACCACACGGCGCAGCTCCTCAGGCAGCTCGGGGGCTGAGGACCAGCTCTCACGGCGCTCCATCTGAAACGGGGGGCACTCCAAGAGTGCCGGGAGGCAGATGTACAGGGACTGGGGGGTGAGAGAACAGCAGCCAGCATTTCCAGGAGTGCTGGTGGCCGAACGCGGGCCTGACCCAGCCAGCTTCCCACCCACACACTTCTCACAGGGACCCGGCCTCGGTGGCTTCCTGCTGGACAGGCCATGGCTTTGCAAATGTCCACTGCGGGGTGTGGGGTGCAGGAGATGCCTCCTGGGGCTGCTGGGAGCAGAGGTGGGGTGTAGGAGGCTCAGGGGGATCTGCTCCTGTCCAAGGCACAGATGACCTCAGAAGGCGCACAGAGGTGGCACCTGGGGGGATGGGCTCCAACGAAGGGGCTGGAGACACCTGGGGGGATGGGCTCCAACGAAGGGGCTGGGTAATAACAGGACAGCCACCACTCCCCAGGAAAGTGGCTCACTGCACCCCCAATGCACCCCAAGCTGGCCAGGGCCACAGAGGGACCAGCGGCAGCACCTCTGGCACCCATGGGTCCAGGGTGATAACAGTGCCACGTCCCCTGAACCCCAGGCTGGGGCCTCCCCCACCTCATCCCTCACTTCCCATGCTGGGGCTTCCCCCACCTCATCGCTGACCCTCAAAACACTGGCAGGAAGGACAAGGCTTTCAAGGCGAGGGAAAGAGGGAGCCAGGATTGTTTTAGGGTTTCTGCTTGACCTGGGGAAGAGTGGGTGTGGGGTGTGAGGGTGCAGCCGGGCCTGTGCAGGACCTGCAGCCACTGCTCCCTGCTGAAGTGGAGCTTGTCACAGTCCCCTCCCTCAGCCCCCAAAAGGCCCCTAGGAGAGCCACAGGCACAAGCCTGTGTTCTGCTTCATCCCAGGAGCTGCCTGAGTGCAGAAGCAGTTCCCATCCCGTGCACCTTGGAGACGTAGTAGACACACTGCTGGAAGGCATAGAGTACCACCTCCTCCAGCACTGCCATGGCCTCCTCGCTGGCCGTCAGCGTGCAGGAGAAGAGCGACTCCTTTGAGCCTGTGGGGAGACAGCCACACCAACAGTCACAAGGGGCACAGCGGACAGTGGCGACTCAGCCAGCTTCCAGCTCCCTCCTGGCTACCAGCTCCGCCCAGTGTGCCCATCTGGGGTGCAGATGTGATGAACCAGAGAGGGACTCTGGGTCCTGGCTTGGAAGGGTGCAGCAAACCTGCCACCACCCTTACCTGGGGCCAGGAGTGCTGGGGAGGGGGCAGGAAGGGTCCGGACACCCAATGTCACAACACCCAGCCCAGCCCAAGTGCTCATTCATGCCCACGTTCTGGATGAGTTTTCTGTTACAACCAACTGCACCCAAAATAGCAGGTCCAAACCCCTCCCCACAGGTCACTTCTTGCTCGCGACATGGGTCAAAGGACTCTGGCAGCAGCCCGTGAGTGGCCACCACGCCGTGGAATCGTTAAGTCTTTCAGGAAGAAAAAGCCCAAATCACCTATTTCACATCCACCCCTGGGTGTCAGCCGGGGCGGCTGGAGCTGAGACTGGGGGAGCAGTGACAGTGGTCACTGGGTGGTTCCTGCCCTCTGGGTGGGGGCTCTTGTGAAGTCAAAAGGCCCCCGATAGGGTGGAGCCTTCCCTGGGGGCTTCCAGAAAGTCAGGGGGCATCTAGCGGTCTCAGTGACTGGGGGTCCCATCAGCACCCGGGGAAGGGGCCAGGACCCTAGACATCCACCTTTGGGTGCCTTCATTCTCTCCCAGGACTGCGGAGGGGTGGCCGTGGTGGTGTTCCTAGTGCAGCCGGGTACATGGTCACAGCTCCCGTCCTCTCCCTCCTGTGGGGCCTCCTTACAGGAAGGGCAGAGGGGCGGCACCATCAGGGCTGCCTTTTGGGGCTACATGGGTGGCGCCTGGTGAGCCAGGCCAACAATCACCCTGATGTTGGCCTGCCTGGAGCACAGGCCCCGCCGACCCTCTACCGGCCCCACTGCACCAGGGGCCAGCCCCCTCACCACCAGGACAATGCTACATCAAGCCCCTGGACAAGCCCCCATCACTTTCACTCCACTGTGGGTGGTGCTCCTCCTTCTTCAGGGGCTCGGGGCTGCCTGGCCCCCACCCATCAAGCCCACTCCCCAAGAACCTGTGAGGCACCCCTAGTGCCTGGCCCATGAGGTCACATCTGGGACCCAGGCAGGGCAGCCGGAGGGACCCCAGGGTCTGGGGCAGTGAGGGGCCCTTAGGCTCTGCCAACCTCGACACTGTGCCCAGAGGCCTCCATGCCTGGGAGCGTGCAAGGTGGCCCGATGGGCCCACAGCGAGTGCCAGCCAAGGATATTCATACCACAGCAGCAGGGAGGCAGGGCAGCAGGCTGAGCTCTGACCCATCCACCTGTCCTGGTGCCCTGGCCCCCAGCTGCCTCAGGCTGCCAGGTCTGAGAGCCCAGCCCCATGCCACTCCCTGGGCAAGGGCAGGGCACTGGTGGGAAGAGGGAAACGGGGCCGTGGAATGATGGGGAGGAGGAGAAGGTGGCAGGGACTGTGTGGAACAAAACCACAGGGCAGGCTCCAACCACCCCCCAAGGGCCTGAGATTCCATTTCTTCTTTTATTTTTGGTAGAAATGGGAGTCTCACTATGTTGCCCAGGCTGGTCTGGAACTACTGGGCTCAGGCGATCTGCCTGCCTTGGCCTTCCAAAGTGCTGGGATTACAGACATGCACCCCTCACCACACCTGGCCCCGAGCCTCCATTTCTTTCTTTCTTTCTTTCTTTTTTAACTCTGTCTCTCAGGCTGGAGTGCAATGGCACAAACCCAGCTCACTGCAGCCTCTACTTCCCAGGTTCAAGCGGTTCTCCTGCCTCAGCCTCCTGAGTAACTGGGATTACAGGCACCCACTACCATGCCTGGCTAATTTTTATATTTTTAGTAGAGACAGGTTTCACCACGTTGGCCAGGATGGTCTTGAACTACTAACCTCAACTGATCTGCCCACCTTGGCCTCCCAAAGTGCTAGGATTACAGGCGTGAGCCTGGCCCTGAGACCATTTCTAACAACCGCCCCAAGACGCCTCTGCTTGTGGTGCCACAGCCGGTGGGAATTTCTGAAGAGCTCCAAGCCCACAGGCCGTTAAGGGGACACACCGGCCAGTGCCCCTGGCTTGCCCCCAAAGCCCCAGGACCCCTGAGGAAGCCAGCCCTGTCCGTAAAGAAGAAGGCACTGAGCCTCAGCCATGAAGAGAGAAGATGGGAGAATCCTAGATGCACATGAAGAAGTTGTGAGGTGGCAAAGGAGGGGCCTGAGTCACAGCTTTGGACAAACAGTGTTTGGGGAAGGACAACAGCCACGTGACTCGCTCTCAGGAAGCGACAGTCCTGCTCTCCCAATTCTTCCCACAGACATTTCCTGCAGAGGGTCAGGAGGCTGGACCTGGCTCTGACCTCCTCACCCACACCAGCCCCTGCTTGGGGCTATTTCCCACTCTGTTCCCTGGCGTCTGCCTGGCCCTCAACACCCGGAGCCTGTGGGCGTCCCTGGGCCCCACTTTCAACGCCGGGCCAAACGCCACCCAGGCCCCTGACCAAAAATAACTTCCTCCCAAGACCAAAGGCAGCAGCTCCGTCAGCCCAGAGCAATTTTTCCCATGAAGAGCAGCCAACACAGGGACCACATGGGACCCAGCTGTCTGAGGCCACCAAACCCAGGCGGCCACAAAGCCACGTGGAAAGTTGGCCAGGGACTAGCCAGGAATGTGAAGCCCAAAAGTCACAGGTCCCAGAGCTGAGTCTTTCTGTTGGGGCAGAACAAAAGGGGCCCCTAACCTGCCCCCATCCCCGTGTCACACAGAAGGACCAAGTGCACACTGCAAGGTCATCGAGGGTCGCCCTTGGCGGGCTGCAATCCCAGAGGCTCCTCCATCCCATGGCCCACCTGCCAGCTGTGACTCCAGCACTGGAGGATGCCGAAGTCAAGTGTGCTGGGAGAGGTGACGGGCGCTGGGTCCCGGGAGGCCGGGCCCCCCAGGGGAGGCCTGCGCCAGGCAGCTGGACGTGGGGACCTCGCGCGGAGGCTTAAGGACCCACAGTCGTTTATGTCACTTTCCAGGAAAAAGCCTGAGAAAAGTCCTGCCCTAGATCCAGGCCCTGTGGACAGGCAGGGGCTGCCCCACCACATGGGGGTTAAGGCCGCAGGCCAGAGGCCTGGAAGCCCACCAGGGCCAGGAGGGGTCGACGCTACCCCTACCTCTCCAAGGCAGTCCCAATTCCCAGGCCAGGGAGGCCCTGGCAGGGCCCCACATTCCCTTCCCTGTGAAGGAGGGGAGAAGGAACCGTGGCCAGCAGGAAGGAATGTGGACAGATCCCAGCTGGCTCTGCCTCCGACAGGAGTCGGGACCCCACCCCACAACCTCATGGCCAGGGCTGGCCTGATCTCCTCCACCCATCTTCAGTCCAGCCTGGTCTCTGCAGCACGGCCCCCACCTGGAGGCTGAGGGCTGGGCCCCTGCACAATGTGGGAGGCTGTCCCACCACGGGGTCACTGCACAGACGCCCTGGCACCTCCCTCTCACTATCGAGAGCCTCTCCTCTCAGAAAACCTGCCCCTAAGGTATGGGGGGCACAGCAGGGCCCCAGCACCCCTGACTCAGCCCGGGCAAGACCTAGCCTGGCCTTGTGTACTCAGGGCTGTCTCAGATGCAGCCACAGCCACAGCCCCCTCCCGGGACAGGGACACAGCTGAGTACACAGAGACCCCGCAGCATCTGGTAGACCGCGCCCATGGGAGCACCCATCCCTGCACACCTGGCCCAGGCCTCCCTCGGAGCTCACAGATGTAGCCTGGGGCAGTTCCAAATGTGCCACTCACTGACCTGGGCCCTCCAGAGTCAGGGCCACCAGGCCACGGCCACTCAGGACTCTATGGCCCTGGGCCCACCTGACAGCGCACCCCACTGGTGTGTGGGCAGAGGGCGCATAGCAAGGCTGTGGGGGTTAGAACCCCAGTCCCCTGGGTGCCCGCTTGTCACTTCCGAAGCACAGCAGCACAGTCCTGCTGCCCCACCTGGCTCCATTCCAGGCCCCACACAGCCCTCGGCAGACTCGCCAGCCAAAATCCTACCCTGGCCTCTGGGCCAGCCCCACACTGCCTTCCCCACAAACCGCCCCTGTCGCTGCCAACTGCCCCTTCGGAACTCCTCTCCCTTAGTATTTTCAGAACACTTCCCACTGCATTTCAGAAATCCTGAAATGTTGGCCGGGTGCGGTGGCTCACAGGTGTAATCCCAGCACTTTGGGAGACCCAGCGGGGAGGATCACCTGAGGTCAGGAGTTCAAGACCAGCCTGGCCAACATGGTAAAACCCCATGTCTACCAAAAATACAAAAATTAGTCAGGCGAGGTGGCAGGCACCTGTAATCCCAGCTACTTAGGAGGCTGAGGCACAAGAATTGCTTGAACCTGGGAGCTGGAGGTTGAAGTAAGCCAAGATCACACCATTGCACTCCAGCCTGTGAGACAGACTGAGATTCCGTCTCAAAAAAAAAAAAAAAAAGAAATCCTGAAAAGTGTATTTCCCACATCATAATCTGTGAAACCAACATCATCTACAGTTTCACAACAAGGACTGGCAATGTCCATCCTTCTGGAAAAACGGTTCGGGTGGCGGCTGAGGCCCATGCTCTCTCCACCACCCCTTGCATTTGCTTCATGGTGGCATCTGTGTCTCCCCTACTGACCTGTGTGCCTCCCCAGGACCTCTTGCAAGCAGAACAGAGTGAGGCTGCCATCATGGGGACACCACCGCATGGAGCGCACGGGATGATGGAGACAGCCTGAGCACCAAGGTACTATGGGCAGGAGGTGCCTGACTGGTCCACACCACCTGAACCAGCCTCACAGGCCGTCCCTGAGGAGCTGACGTGCACCAGCCCAGGGGCTAAGAAAGCCCCCAGCATGAGTCCATCCCTGCTATCATGGGCAACTTGGTTCGGAGGACGGAGAGGGGCTGCCACACTCCCCTGCCTGCGGTGCCAGCCATACCTGTGATGTCCAGCTGCTCCTCCATGCTCTGCATATAGAGTGGGCATTTCTGCTGGATAAAGTACAGGAGCTCAATGGAGTTAGACATCCAGAAAAGAATGGGCTGCAGGTCCGGAACCAGGTCAGTCATGGAGCAGCTGGCCAGCGAGACGGGCTCCTGGCTACCAAGACAGAAAGACTAAGAGTTACGCGGGGACCCAACACCCAGGAGGCTGAACCTAGCACTCTGTCTACACAAGGACACACATTTTCATGGCACACTGACAACAACTGCAACCATCAACCTGACACTGCTGGGCGGGGACATTTAACAATATATGTACCCACCTAGCACCCGCCCACAATACCTGACAGCCAGAGGCCCCTACAAACCTGGCAAGGGAGACAGCCGGACGCCACAGCCACTGGTAAAAAACCTTGTAAATAAACAGCTTGCATGCCTTTTCTTTTGAAATGAGGTCATAAAGTAGCTGTGAATGCTGAGAGAATGCATGCAAATATGTGTGCGTTCACCTGTATGCGTGCATGGGGTAGGGGATGGGTCCATAGTTTTTAGAACAAGAAATGTCAGCTCCATTATATTATTTAACAAGGTAATTACCAAAGGAAATAAACAATAATAGAGCCATTTTCGGAGGTGCACAAGGCAAGATGAACTGCTACTTTATTAAAGCAGGAAGTCACAAAAAGTCCATGAATCATGGGGTAGCAGGCAAAGCCTGAGATCTGAAGACCCAGAGGCAATCATTAGAAACCCAAACTGAGGCCGAGCGCAGTGGCTCACACCTGTAATCCCAGCACTTTGGGAGGCCGAGGCAGATGGATCACCTGAGGTCAGGAGTTCAAGACCAGCCTGACCAAGATGGCAAAACCTCATTTCTACTAAAAATACAAAAATTAGCCTGGTGTGGTGGCAGGCGCCTGTGATCCCACCTACTCAGGAGGCTGAGGCAAGGGAATCACTTGATCCTGGGAGGTAGAAGTTGCAGTGAGCTGAGATCTCACCACTGCACTCTAGCCTGGAAGATAAAGCATGATTCCGTCTTCAAAAAAAAAAAAACAAAAAACTGGACACTGGACATCATTCATCAAGGTTGCCTCTGAGATCTGTGTAGGGGAAAGGGCTGGGCCAGGTTCCTATCACAAACTTCTTGGCACAGTCTCTTTGTCTCTTTTTTCTTTTCTTTTTATTTATTTTTTTTTGTTTATTTATTTATTTATTTATTTATTGTCTTTTCTTTTTATTTATTTATTTATTTAGAGGCAAGGGTCTCGTTCTGTCACCCAGGCTGGAGTGCAGTGGTGCAATCACAGCTCACTGCAGCCTCCAACTTCTGGGCTTAAGCGATCCTCCCATCTCAGCCTCCCAAGTAGCTGGGACTACAGGCATGCACTGCCATTCCTGGCTAATTACTAAAAAACATTTTTTTTAAAGACGGGGTCTTGCTATGTTGCCCAGGCTGCTCTTGAATTCCTAGCCTCAAGCAATCCTCTTGCTTTGGCCTCCCAAGAGCTGGGATTATAGGCATGAGCCACCACGCCTGGCCCTGCTTCTGTACCCATGGAGTTGGTTGTTACTCTGAGTAATAAAAGCAGTAGCTCAGGCCCCTCTTTCGCCAGCCTGATGCAGGTAGGAGTAGAAGGCTCTTCCCTCCCAGGCCTGCTGCCTCCCCAGCTCAGTGCTCCCTTTCCAGGGGATGACGGCAACATCAGGGCCGCCTCCACCCTCGAGGGCAGCCTCCAGCATCAGGCTAGCTTCCAAGCTCAGAGCTCCCAAACCATTTCTCCTGCATCTCTTGGGAATCAGCCCCAGGATATATCTGTCTGGTGTGACTTGAAACTGCCTTCTAGTGTCTTCAGTTGGCCTCTTGGAACGTCTGAGGGGTGGATACAGCAAGGCTGCACTGAGGTCCCCGGGTAATTCCTCATTTAAAATGCCAGCTACACATCTTTCTCACAGGTTCCTTGTCTAGTCCATGCACCAGCTCAGCATTAAGCCACTGGACAGGCTGCCTGGGACGCCCAGGGTCCCAGCAGCTCAAAGGACACATTCATCCATAAGCCTCCACAATCGCACCTGGCAGAGACAAACAGCTGAGTGCCCCTGTGGAGTGAGCAGAAGGGATCCTTTTGCAAACAGATCAAACCACGCAGATCTGATTCGGGTCTGCCTGAGCTGTGGAGGGCGGCCCTGCTGCCTGGCCCACAGCTGGCCCAGGGACCCCTCGTCACCTGTGTCCCTTACTGGAAGGACTCTAAAGGACAAGCCAGGTGACTGCCACTCTGCTGGTCTCAGAGCATGGTGCAAGCCCAGTGCCTGCCCCCAGGCCCGGGGCACAGCCAGGCTCAAGGGTGGATGGCTGTCAGAGTGACCACCACGCACATGGTCCCAGGTATGTGAACCTAGCCTGGGATCCTTCAAAAGGTGCCAAGCCCACAGGAAAAGTCACCAGGACCTTCAGGCAGCCATTAGCGAGGGGATCTGGGAAGGGCTGAGGTCCTGTTTTCCCTCCTGTTCTTTCCCCAGCTGGGCAGCCAAGAAGGGCAGAGGGAGGAAGCCCAGGCTGCGTCCCAGATTCTCCCTGGTGCCCAAAGTGTTGTCTGCTCTCTCTGATGTCACTTCACTTTTGTCCACAAACAATGCTGACCTCTCTCTCATGCACTCGCACTGCGGGAGGGAAGAAACCGGCCTGAGACTGTCTCTCCTTGTTTTGGCAGCTAAGCAGGTCTGCGCCTGCTCGTGTATCTGGCACAGCTCAAAGTCCTGCTCCTTTTTGCCCATTCTGGACACTGGCTTGAAGGACATGCGTGTCTGCAGATGGGCAGAAGGAGCTTTATGCAGTTAAAGAAGAATTCGCTGGGCTCTTCGGAGACTAATTCCATCTTGTTTTCAACATTTACTGCCCTTCTCAATTTTCCCCGGAACCCAGAGGACAGACAGGCCTCTCCAGGAAAACAAACAACCAGACATCGCAGCTGGAGTTTCAGGATGAAACCCAGGCCAGGTCAGCGCTGCATGCCCCCCACCTGCCACCCTGGGGCCACGTGAGTGGGGGCCCAGGGAATGATGAAGATCCAGCCCATCCTATCCAGGCCTGTTTGGACGGAGGAGCAGGGCTGGTGGAAAAGGAATACATAAGTTGCCCTAGAAGAGGGCAGAGGGAAGGGCACTTGGATGGGGACAGCACAGCCTGGTAGGAGGAACGGGCACAGCTGGCTGGGGCAGGCCAGTCAGGGTGCAGGCATCTCCTGCGAGCGGAGGGAGGGAACGTGGCACTGGAGTCCCAGTCCTGGGAGCCGAGGCCATGGAAACACTCACACAGCCCACAAGGAGCACAGAGACGAGATTGTGGGTGGCCAGCCATGGCCAGCACATGCCTATCGCTTCCATCAGGAGAGGACCAGGGAACGGCGTGCCCCAAAAAGCAGGTTAGCCACATCTACCCAGCTGGTGAGGTCGTGAGTGAGAAAGCAAACCACAGACAGCTCAGCCAGTGCCATCGCACCCAGAAAGAAAGGAAGAAAGAGAAAGAGGAAAGAGAGAGAAAGAAAGAAGCTGGGTGCAGTGGCTCACACCTGTAATCCCAGCACTTTGGGAAGCTGAGGCTGGTGGATCACCTGAGGCCAGGAGTTCAAGACTAGCCTGGCCAACATGGTGAAATTTCCTCTCTACTAAAAACATGAAAATTAACTGGGCAGGGTGACACGTTCCTGTAATCCCAGCTACTCGTGAGGCTGAGGCAGGAGAACTGCTTGAACCGGGACCCAGGAGGTGGAGGTAGCAATGAGCCGAGATTGCACCACTGTATTCCAGTCTGGGCTACAGAGTGAGACTCCATCTCAAAAAAAAAAAAAAAAAAAAAAAAAAAAAAAGAAGGGAAATGAAATGGTGACTATTTTGTAACAAGCTGTTAGAAGTGCTCTTTTGGGGCCACGTGCAGCAGCTCACATCTGTAATCCCAGCACCTTGGGAGACCAAAGCAAGAGGATCACTTGAGTCTTGTCTCTACAAAAATAAAAAATAAAAAAATTAGCCAGGGTATGGTGGTGCATGCCTGTAATCCCAGCTACGCAGGAGGCTGAGGTGGGAGGATCAATTGAGCCCAGGAGGTTGAGGCTGCAGTGAGCTATGACTGTACCACTGCACTCCAGCCTGGGCAACAGAGTGAGACCCTATCTCAAAAAATAGTAACAATTAATTAAATTAAATGAAGTAAAAACAAAGAATTATTTGGGATACCACAGTGTTAAAAGCAAGCTGAAGCTAGAATGGGATAAGTAATAAAATGAAATCCCAGAAGTGAAGATGGAGGTTGAAACATCCTAAGACCTAGTGTTCCACAAAAAGATGAAGATATTCATATTCAAAGAATTACTTTGAAACTAATAAAGGAGGAAAGGGAGGGATTTTAAAAAATCCAATCAGAAGCTGCGTAAAATGGTTCCCACCAGTAATCCCAGCACTCTGGGAGGCCGAGACAGGTGAATCACGTGAGGTCAGGAGTTCGAGACCAGCCTGGCTAACATGGTGAAACCTTGTCTCCACTAAAAATACAAGAATTAGCCAGGCCTGGTGGCGTGTGCCTGTAATGCCAGCTACTTAGGAGGCTGAGGCACAAAACTCCCTTGCACCCTCGGAGTAGAGATTACAGTGAGCTGAGATCACACTACTATACTCCAGCCTGGGTAACAGAACCAGACTCTGTTTCAAAAAAAAAAAAAAAAAAAAATCCAATCAGACAGAAAAGTATAAAAATTAAAGGCAAAAGGCACAGAAAATAGTGCAAAACAGATGGTAAAAATGTGGCCAAAGACATCAGGAATGGCAATAAAGATTCAACTTGCCTATTAACAAAGATAAGTCAGGTGAATAAACAATTGCTTTCAAAAAATAAAACAACAGGACATAGAAAGGGTGAATGTAAACTTCCCATGGTCTCATGTACGGGCATGGAAGAAACTCATCAGGCGATTAGTAAACCAATGAAAGCAGATGTGGTGCTCCCCCCAGGCAAAGGAAGATTCTAGGGCAGTAAGAATCATCAGGACAGACCGGAAGCGTGCCTGTCATCCCAGCACTTTGGGAGGCCAAACTGGGCGGATTGCTTGATGTTAGGAGTTCAAGACAAGCCTGGTGAAACCCCATATCTACTAACCATACAAAAATTAGCTGGGTGCAGTGGCAGGTGCCTGTAATCCCAGATATTCAGGAGGCTAAGGCAGGAGAATTGCCTGAATCTGGGAGGCAGAGGTTGCAGTGAAATGGGATTGTGCCACTGCACTCCAGCCTGGCAACAGAGTGAGACCCTGACTCAAAAAAAGAAAAGAAAAGAGAAGAAAGACAAAAGAAATAAACCGATAATCATTAAAGACAGGGATTCGGCAAGCAGGGGTCTTCCTCCTGGAGGGCACTGCCCCAGATGTTTTTCTCAAAAACTTTCAGGGTCAGTCCTCACCTCATATGAACAGAATCAGAGAACTAAGAAACAGAGAAAGCTCCCCAGCTCATGTGCTGTGAACCTTATTACTAAAATCAGATAAGGACAATGCAAAAAAAAAAAATTCATAGACCAATTTTACCAATAAATTCAGATGGGAAAATCCTAATTAAAAGATCAACAGTCAACACCACTAATCATCAGGGAGATTCCAATCAAAACCACGAGACACCACCTCACTCCTGATGTAACGGCCATTATCAAAACGATGACAGATCGCAGGTGTGGGCAAGGACTGCATGCTGTTGGTGAGAATGTAAATTAGCACAGCCATTACAGAAAACAGTGTGGAGGCCCCTCAAAATACTAAAAATATAGGCAGAGCGCAGTGGCTCATGCCTGTAATCCCAACACTTTGGGAGGCTGAGGCAAGAGGACTGCTTTGAGCTCAGGAGTTCAAGACCAGCCTGGGCATAGTGAAACTCCATCTCTACAAAAAACACAAAAATTAGCTGGGCATGAAAAATGCAAATATTAGCCAGAGGTAGTGGTGCACACTTGTAGTCCCAGCTGCTTAAAGGCTGAGGTGCAGGAATCGCTTCAGTCCAGGAGGTGGAGGTTACAATGAGCAGAGTTTGTGCCACTACACCCCAGCCTAGGTGACAGAATGAGATCGTGTCTCAAAAAAGAAAACCTAGGAACGCATCACCCCACATTAACAGATTAAGGGGGAAAATATAATGATCACAGATGCAGATTCAGTCAAATTCAATGGTCATTCACAATTTGAAACACAGAGCACAAAGGTTTGAGGCAAACAGGGCAAAATGAATATTAAATCCCAAATCATCATCATCACCATCACGTCAGTTTCAGGTGTGGCTTCATGGATGAGTGGCAGATTCTGTACTGTTCTGTGTTTTGGAAATGAGTCATTATTTTACAAAGGAAAAAGCCCCCAGGCACGCATGAGGGATAGAAACAGGGCTGTTTTTAGGCCCTAATGATGATGATCCTGGAGAGAGCACACAGCTGCAACAGGGAGGGCCGGGCCTTCCCATCAACGAGGAAGCTGGGTCCACCCAGATGTGTGCTTCAGACAGAAGGCCGCCCAACAAACAGGTGCTGGGGTGAAAGGGACCCTGATGAGGGCTGGGTACACTCCCATCCCCTCCACATCCTGCCTCAACCCTAGAACTCCAGCTGTCCTGGAGCAAAGTCCCAGAGGAATGCCATCACACCATCGCTGGGCCCAGTCCCAACTCCCACATACACTTCTCAATACTGAAAGCCCACAAGACGTCAGGTGCCACCGTGGGGGTCCCGGCCTGGGCCACCTCCTCACCATGGGTCAGGCTGTCCATCACCCTTCCATGCTGTCTGGAGCCCCCTCCTGCCAGCTGAGAGGTAGAGCCTGGGTCCCCCACACAGTCATAGACCTCAGAGGCTGGGAGCCACCCCCAAGACATGGTGTCTCTACTAGCAGCATGAGAACAGATTAATACAGGCATGGACGGGAATCACACAAAGCTCTGTGTACCACAGCCCGTAAGGGGGTGCTGCCCGCCATGCAGCCTGAGCCCCCGAGATGCATCCCCCTCCCTCACTGCCCAGTGTGGCCAGCACCACCTTCCACTCTGCCTTTGTCAGTGTCAGTGTCATCTCACATGTGTATCTTAAATAGAATGGATTGGCTGTGGATATCATACGTGTGTGTGCGCGTGTGTGCAGGTGTGCACACGCGCACACACACATTTAATATCACAGACACTGTGCTGGGCACTTTTTCCCAGCATTGTCTTGGATTCAGCTGCACTGAGAGAGCAGTGGCTGAAGGTCATTCCCTGCCACCACCGAGCCCTCTGCCTGGAGGAGACACGTGGCAGCTTCAGCTCCCGTGTGGACACGTTGCCCTCCACGAGCAGGTGGCTCTCTAGGTCCACGAAAGAATGGAGTGTGGGCCCCGGGGGCTGCACATCTATATCCGATCCACACAAATGGTTTCCGAAATGCCCTGGCAGAGTCTAGGTTAGAGACAGTGTTTTCTGTGCAAACAGCCGTTGGAGAGTGGAGTGCACAGCCTTGCCTCTGACCCAGGGGCTGCGCCTTTCCCTGAAGGCGCAGGTCAGTTCTAACACAGAATCAGAGAAGAGCGAGGGAGGAGAAGGCTCAAAAGAGGGCCTCAGGCCGGGCGCGGTGGCTCAAGCCTGTAATCCCAGTACTTTGGGAGGCCGAGGCGGGTGGATCACAAGGTCAAGAGATCAAGACCATCCTGGTCAACATGGTGAAACCCCATCTCTACTAAAAATACAATAATTAGCCAGGCGTGTGGAGGCAGGTGCCATAACCCCAGCTACTCAGAAGGCTCAGGCAGGAGAACCCCTTGAACCTGGAAGGCAGAGATTGCAGCAAGCCCGGATCACACCACTGCACTCCAGCTGGACGACACTGTGAGAGTCTCTCTCAAAAAAAACAAAAAAAAAACAAAAAAAGAGGACTTCACCCAACCAGTCTTAAGGGTGCCCTGAAGCAATTTCCCAACTCAGAGCTTCCCAGGGTGGATGACTAAAGAAGCAAAAAAGGCAGCTCAGATGGAAGGACACAGCCCAGAGCTGACCCCAAGGCATGGGGAGGCCCCCTCGGGACTTGGCTCCACCTGGGAAGTGAGGGCCCCCAGGACCTGGGTAAGAAGCGGGTACAGTAACCGGGTCATACTCACAGTGGCGCCTGCTTCTCTGCTAGTTCTTTGGTTTTCTCCTACAATTACAAAGCGGGAGAAAAAGCACGTGAGAAAAACAGGCTAAGGGACACGTTCAAATACACATTATACCATTGATGCGAAAAGAAGCCATGCTGTCTCAGGCATCCTGTGTGACGCTATTTATTCGAGCTGTGCTGGAAAGGACATTTTCCATGTAACTTAGACATCTTCCCATTTCATTACCGAATATGACCTACAAGTTTCCTACAATAGAATATCTCACAGCTCTCTAGCTTACATAACAACTGGCTGCTTAAAAAATAGTGAGGCCGGGCACAGTGGCTCACCCCTGTAATCCCAGCACTTTGGGAAGCCAAGGTGGGCAGATCACTTGAGGTCAGGAGTTCGAGACCAGCCTGACCAAATTGGTAAAACCCCATCTTTACTAAAAATACAAAAATTAGCTGGCACAGTGGTAGGTGCCTGTAATCCCAGCTACTCAGGAGGCTGAGGCAGGAGAATCACTTGAACCCAGGAAGTGGAGGTTGTGGTGAGCCAAGATCACACCACTGCACTCCAGCCTGGGCAAAAGAACAACATTCCATCTCAAAAAATAAAATAAAATAAAATAGTAGAGACAGGCCAAACATTTTACAAATCCCAGAATGAAGATTCTACTAATACTTTCATTGATAAGCTGAATATAGACATTTGGAAATGCCAGCACAGTAATCGTAAGGAGATGCATACGTGCCTGAATATTTATAGAAAGATTTAAACTTCTCAACAGGGACTCAGGCTTAGCTAACATATTCTTTGTTGCTGTCACTGTATTATTTTATTTTATTTTATTTTTTATTGTTAGAGAAAGGGTTTTGCTGTGTTGCCCAGGCTGGAGTACAGTGGCCAATTATAGCTCACTGCAGCCTCTAACTCTTGGGCTCAAGTGATCCCCATACCTCAGCCTCCCAAGTAGCTGGGACTATGGATACATGCCACTATGCCTGGATAATTCAAAACATTTTTTTTTTTTTTTGTAGGGACAGGGTCTCACTTTGTGGCCCAGGCTTGTTGCTAACTCCTGACCTCAAATGGTCGTCTTGTCTTCCAAAGTGCTGGAATTATAGGCATGAGCCACCACACCTGGCCCTGTTGTCACTTTTAACCAAGAAATTATTCTTGGCCGGGTGCTGTGCTTCACACCTGTAATCTCAGCACTTTGGGAGGCTGAGGTTGGCAGATCACTTAAAGTCAGGAGTTCAAGACCAGCCTGGAAAACATGGTGAAACCCCATGTCTACTAAAAATACAAAAATTAGCCAGGTGTGATGGCACGCACCTGTAACCCCAGGTTTACAGGTTTAAAGAGGCTGAGTCAGCCGGGCGCGGTGGCTCAAGCCTGTAATCCCAGCACTTTGGGAGGCTGAGGCGGGTGGATCACGAGGTCGAGAGATCGAGACCATCCTGGTCAATGTGGTGAAACCCCGTCTCTACTAAAAATACAAAAAATTAGCTGGGCATGGTGGCGCGTGCCTGTAGTCTCAGCTACTCAGGAGGCTGAGGCAGGAGAATTGCTTGAACCCAGGAGGCGGAGGTTGCGGTGAGCCGAGATCGTGCCATTGCACTCCAGCCTGGGTAACAAGAGCGAAACTCTGTCTCAAAAAAAAAAAAAAAAGAAAAAAAAAAAAGAAAAAAAAGAGGCTGAGTCAGAACAATAGCTTGAACCTGGGAGGCAGAGGTTGCGGTGAGAGCAGATCATACCACGGCACTTCAGCCTGGGCAAGAGACTGAGACTCTGTCTCAAAAAAACAAACAAAAAAGAATTACTCTTGCCTTAGTAGTAAGTTATTACCAGCTAAATGTAACCCTGGTGGCTGACTGTGCGCAGACTCTAAGCATCTGCCTATATATTTGGTAAAAAATGAGGACAGGGCAGTGGCGGGAGGACGGGGTAGTTGCTCATTCTCAGGAAACAAACAAGCAAATGACATTCACACGGGATCTGGATGGCACCCCAAGGAGGCTTTGGATTCTTACAATGGGTGCAGGGGGAAAAGGTGGACTGGGGCTCTGTCTGATGTCTATAGCTCAATCCCTGGACCAGGCAAGTCACATCTGGGAGCCTCTGTTTTGGAGCCTATAGAATAGAGGCAGGGTGAGCCCTGGTGCACTGCCAGGAGTGGGCCAGTGCACAGCAAGCCCCAAGTGGCTGAGACGCAGGCGGGAACCTGACTCCCCCAGCAAGTGACTTAAGAACACCCAGCTTCAATTTCCCTGGCTGTGACGTAGGATGTGGCATCTACATCGTCAGGGTGGTTGTGAGAAGGAAATCAAACAGCATTTGGTTTGCAAGTAAGTGCCTAGCGCAGACGAGACTCAAGAACGACGATGATCGCACGAAAACCCGTGACTTCTGGCCAGCAGATAACTCTGGGTCACAGCGGCAGTGATGTGGACGCATACTGCATGGACATCACCTGGCTCTGTGCCCACAACTGGAGGGGACATGGGCATGCCGCAATGGCACTCCTACCACATCCCACACCGGGAACCCAGGGAGTGAGGCACAGACACCTGGATCACAACACCCATGAAGCAGAGGTGGCTCCCACTGACCTTTGGACAGGGCAGCCTTAGCTGGCTTTTACCTTTTAAAAGCCTCAGACATTTAAAATGTGAATTTCGACATGAGAAACTGATGAGTTTTCTACACAGTCAAGTGGTTCCCCCTTCCCACGCCTGTCATGGATAAGCATGGCCCAGACCAGCGAGGGTCTGAGGGTCTCTAAATGAACTTGAACAGCTGCAAGCTATCCTTTGGGTCCGTGGGAGCTGAGTCACTGTGGGGCGAGGCCCCGCAGGGAGGCCAGACTGCGTGATGCCTGCTCCAGTGCTCATGGGCCCAGGGGGCAGTCCTGCCCACTGGCGGGGTCACTGGCAATGCCTGGAGCCATTGGGGTGTGTGTGTGTGTGTGCGTGCGTGCGTGCGTGCGCACGCGCGCATGAGCATATGTGTGGCGGAGCAGCGGGGGCTGACCAGCCTCTAGGGTGGAGGCCAGGCCAGAGGCCAGGCCAGCCCCACAGCAAGGAACTCTCCTGCCAGTGTCCACAGGGCTGAGGATAAGAGACGCTGGCCTGCAGGAAAGTTTGTCAGCGCACAAAAGCCGACCAGCTCTGTACCTCCAAGGATGGAGGTTGGCTCCAGTGGGCATCTGCTCGACCAGCCCCTGGCAGCAAGCATGGGGCACCAGCACAGACGGGGGCTTCTGGGGTGCTTGGGCAGGGGCCTGTGAGAGCTACCAGCGTCACCTCAGCCTCGCAGTGCCCAGGCTCAGGGGCACCTTGCTCTTGGCACATGACAGTGCTGGGCCCAGTGGGACCCCAGGGAGGGTACAAGCCCAGAGCTCAGGAGGTGACCTTGGACCCCACACCAGCCCCATCCTCAGGGACAAAGTGCTGCAGCTGACGCTTTGGGCTCTAGGGAGGCTCCTGGTGGCCTAAGGGGCTGGGAGGCAGCAACAGACAGGGAAGGGCCTCCCTGTGCTCAGCAGCACAGCACCATGGGGCTCAGACAGAGGCGTTCCTGCCTCCCTGCCATGGCCAGCTCCAGGCCCTCCTTTCCCCCAGCCTGGCAAAGGACACAGACCGCCCACCCCAGCACACTGACCCAGACGGTCTTGCGGATGAGCCTGGCTATCTTGAGCAGGAGCTGCCCGAATGTGCCCGGCTCAAAGTGGGTGGCTGAGTGCTGGATGCATAGGCACAGGAGGAAGGCAGGGGTCAGCTTGTGGTCGTCGCCCCCTGGCTCGATGAGCGTCATGATCCTCTGCAGCAGCGTGTCCTCCAGGTGGGGCTCGAACTCCAGGAGCAGCTGCTGGCGCCTGGGCAGGGCGGCCTGTGTCGGGGAGGCGGCTCCCCGGGCCCCTAGCGCAGCTCCACACAGCCGGCAGCTCTGCGGCACGGCCCGGAGGTGCGCCAAGGCGTGGGCAGGCAGGGGCTGGGCCTGTGCAGGGTCCTTGAACAGCAGCAGGTAGTAGAGTCCCAGGGAGAGCAGATCCCCGTGGTGCAGCACCACAGTCCGGTGCCCCACCTCAGAGAAGTTGACGGAGATGGGCGCCCCGGGGATGGGCTCCAGGACCAGCCTCCCCCCAGCCTGGCCACTGTCCGCGAGTGGGTGGCGGCGGATGGTGCAGTGCAGGGGCAGGATGTCGGGGGCCGAGAGAATGATGCTGGGCTTGCTGGAGGGGGTCCGCTGGCCCACTGTGTGCCGGTCCCGGTTGAGCACATACACCAGGCTGTCCTGAAACAGAGACTCCACTCAGGGCAGGTGAAACGCCAGCGGCAGACACGAAAGGCCGCCTGTCTCATCACTGGTTGCTGAAGCCACGTGGTTGGGACGCTGTCCCCTGGGCTCTCCATGTCCCTGGCCACCCCCACACCAGAGCCCTGGGAGCTCTCAGGAACCCATCCCTCGATGTCCGGGCCCATCCCAGGGAAGGTGGTTTCCCAGAGGAACCCCGGGGGCACACGAGAGACCCAGCTTAGAGACAGCGAGAGGCCAGGTCACGGCTTGCTGGGCAACAGGCGCTGCTGCTCCAGACTGGGCCAAGCACTACCCAGCTTCCTCCGGGTCATCACCAAAACTGTGTGGGAGCACTGCCCCGACGGAAGAAGCCACCCGAGACCTGGGCACAGGAGCCCAAAGGCTGTAAAGTGCTCATGGAAACGAGCAGCAAAGGAGCTGGCTGCACAGGCGGGGAGGGGGTGGGGCAAGCAGAGGCAGGGAGAACAGCTGCCGGGCAGAGCGAGTGTCAGGCAAGGTGAGGCAAGGCAGCCGTGCTCCTGGCATTTGCTCAGGCGACTGTCCGTCTACTCTGATGGAAGTGGTGTGAAACAGCTCTGGGCAGGTGGGGGTGGGTGGGGCCTTTTCCCAGTGCCCTCTCAGAGAACATGGTCACCAAGTGGTGACTTAGCACCCTCTCGCCTGCAGCAGGAAGCAGGCCTGGCTGGGCAGGAGATACAGTCCGGAAAGGTGTGAGGAGCTCTCCCTGAAAGCGCCTGGTGCTAAAGGCACCCACTTCGGGACAGGGGAAGTAAGGGGCCCGCCCCTGCTGCCGCCTGCCGGGGCCTGGACAGGGAAAATGTGGAGGACCCCACACGTGCCCCCACCACCCCATTCCACAGCCTTGGCACAGCCAGAGGGGCTGCAGCCACAGAGCTCGTGGCCGACTGGGTTAAAGGCAGGAGGAGGCCTTGACTTCTGAGTCCTGTGTGCTGTCCCCGCAGCGGCGCCAGGCAGTGGGTACCAGGAGGGAGGCTCACATGCTGCTGGCTGTAGCCCTGCAGAAGGAGCAGGTGTGGGGACTGGTACAGCGAGTACCGCATGGCGTCTGGGCCAGGCTCCTCCGGACCGTGGGCAGTGGCAGGAAGGGCAGTTGCTGGGCTCAGGCTGGTCTCGCTGACCGTGCGGCGCAGCAGGGGTGGAGGGGAGCTCCGGGCATCCCCTAGGGCCAGGGCCGGGGTTCCCTTCGCCCGGCTCCGCTGCAGCCTCCGGGCCTGGGCGTTTATCCCTGGAACAGAAGCAGTACAGGTGAACAGTTAGATGTCTAATAGCTCCAGGGCCAGGCCCAGTGGCTCACACTTGTAATCCCAGCACTTTGGGAAGACGAGGCGGGTGGGTCACCTGAGGTCAGGAGTTCAAGACTAGCCTAGCCAACAACCCCATCTCTACTAAAAATACGAAAATACATGGTGGGCTCCTGTAATCCCAGCTACACGGGAGGCTGAAGCACGAGAATTGCTTGAACCCAGAAGGTGGAGGTTGCAGCGAGCCAAGATCGTGCCATTGTACTCCAGCCTGAGTGACAAGAGCGAAACTCCATCCCCCTAAAAAAGTCTAATAGCACCCATGTTCCAGGTCCTTCTGAGTTCAAACCCACTAAGCCACGTCTCCTAATGCCTGTCACTGTTCTGTCAAAGCAGGTCTGGCAGAGGCTCAAGGATTCTGCCCTCTAGCCACGCCCCTCAAAAAACTGGGCAGTGCTTTGCCACCACTGTGGCAGGATAGTCTCAGAGCCAGCAGCCTTCCTGTCAGACCCTCAGGCTGAGGGGACCAGGCCTGCCCTGTAGCAGCCCAGGGTTGCACCACGGCCTGCCCGACCAGCCGGCACCATGGCCCACAGGGCCTCAAACCACAAATGCTTTCCCACGGCAGCATCCACCTCTGCAGGGTCACCACGCCACCTCCAGAGCCCTGCCCCCATCCATCTGTGCACCAGGTGAAACTCCCCTGGGGGGTGCTCTGATGAGATGAGATGGAATGGTCATCATCCTGCCCCCACTTTACAAGGAGGGGGTGCCACTGTGCCACGTCATCCCAGCCCACAGGGCTGCTGATAGCCTGCTTCTGTGACAGTATGGCTGCCTCCTTCCCAAGCCTGTCTCTGACATCCTCAAGTCAAAGCAGGCACACACACACACACACACACACACACGCACGCACACATGTGCATACACATGTCCACAAATACACACGCACTCACACACAAAGACACACATGCACACACACACATGTGCACACACATGCCGACACACGCATACACACACATTAACACATACATGTGCACACACACGCACACACAGCTCAGAGATAACACACACCCTTAGAAGACTTTTAAAATTGCATAAATACAGACACACTCTCTAAATGCGTGCTCTGGGAAAGCCAGCCGGCTGCGATAGATGAAAACTGCTCACCAGTCCCCAGTTGACCTGGCGCTGTCTTTTCTGAGCTCTCTGCTGAGTTTCCTGTATGCAGTCTTTCAGGTTAAGATCCGTCCCCATCTGTGGCAGCCTTTCCTCCAGCCATTCCCAATAAAACCAAACAAAAGCTGGACAGAGGGAGGCGGCAGCTGGCCGAGGACGCCCCTTACCAGCGCTGGCGGCCCCGCGGTCCTTCCCAAGGCAGCCAGCAGCCTGTGCATCTGCAGCCCGCGGGGGGCCGGGGCGCGAGGGAGGCTGCCCAGCCGCAGTGCGAGGCTGCTGGGCTTGGCTGCTCGCCGCCGTGCTCCTGCCGGCCATAGAGCCCGGCCCAGCCTGGCGGGAAGCAGGTGCCCAGCAGGTGGGGCCCGGTTCCCCGACCCCATCCCACCCGCCACTCCCACAAGCTTTGCCAGCCCCACAGCTCAGTCTCACTGCACAACTGTGGGGCCAGATCTGAAAGAACACAAAGAGCCCCAAATTATGCTCCAGCCCCCAAGTTTCTCCCAAATCTGGGGGTAGGTTCCAGGAGATGACCTCAGGGTGACTTTCTAGAAGTCCCAGGGCTATGGGGCAGGGAGGGCTTCTCCTCCTAGATTCCCAGGGGCTCCCAGAGGGCCTGACCACAACTGCGGCATGGGATGACCCAGGCCTGCGTCCCCTGGGACTGCAGCCCCAGGCAAGTGGCTCACAGCTAAGTGCACCCTGCTCCTCCACACAAGGCCCCATTCAGGCCCAGGGCTGCGCTCTCTGCAGAATCAATGCTGACACTCAGGGGCCACTCCCAGGATCTCCTTCCTTGTGCTGGGCAGGCCCGCACGAATGCAGAAGCACCAGGCTGCCAGCCTTCAACGAGGAGCCAGAGGTGAGGCCTCTCCTCTGGGCAGCAGCACTGTCCCTGCACCCAAGGCCACAAGCACGACAGAGCCTCCCTCTGAGTGCAGGTGAGGGGGTGAGGCAGCAACAGCATCCACTGCCGACACTGGCACAGCTGTGGGCATAGCCAGTGTGGACAGCAACTGACCACAGCACTCTGTTCCTCAGTCCCCTGCCATGGGACAGCCGGCAGGACCCGTGCACATTCAGCATCACCTGAATTGGCAAAGTCCAGAACCCACCCAGTCGGCCCCTGCAGGGAGCCACCATACACAGGAGGACAACTCCACAGAGAGAAGCTTGCAGCCAGCCATGCACATGACCACAGGGTGAAAGAGCAAACTGCAGGTTAACACGTGACATGACTCATTGGCTCAGTTTTCTTAAAAGCACCTAAGACGCCATCGTACCTCACTTCTGGATTCTACGTGTGCACGCAAAGCTATTTTTTACCCCAAAGTCATTCAGCAGCAGGTTGCTTAACTTCCATGTAATTGTACAGTTTTGAGCAATCTTCTCAGTACTGATTTCTATTTTTACTGGGCTGGGGTTGGACAGTGTGGTTGGCATAACCACACTCTGGTTAGTTTTTTGAATTTGTTGAGAATTCAAACAAATATGTTTTACAATCAAATGTGTGGTCAATGTAGAGCTTTTTTTTTTTTTTTTTTTTTTTTTTTTTTTTTTTTTTGAGACAGAGTCTCACTCTGTCGCCCAGGCTGGAGTGCAGTGGCACAGTCTCAGCTTACTACAACCTCCACCTCCCAGATTCAAGCGATTTTCCTGCCTCAATCTCCTGAGTAGCTGGGATTATAGGCACCCACCACCAAGCCTGGCTAATTTTTGCATTTTTTGAGATGGGGTTTCATCATGTTGGTCAATCTGGTCTCAAACTCCTGACCTCGTGATCCACCCTCCAACTGCCTCGGCCTCACAAAGTGCTGGGATTACAGGTGTGAACCACCAAGCCTGGCCCGATCTAGAGCTATTTTTTAAAACAGCAATGCACACACACAGTGAATTCACCACATGGAGGCTGTCCTCAACAGGTGCAGGGGGAAGTCTAGGGGTAGTGGAAGAAATGAATTCAATTTCATAGGATTTAATATAGTGTCCAGCATGTTAACAGAATATATGTTATATATAATTTATAATACATATATTATCATAACGTTATATCATATTTTACTTATTTTATTTCTTTTAAACTCCAAACAAATGTGATAAAAATCTTTACCTGTAAAATCTGGGAGGTAAAAACCCAGGTGTCAGGTAAACCGTAACTGATTATACTTTACTTTTTAAAACTTTTGTTTGTTTGTTTTGAGACGGAGTGTCACTCTGTCACCCAAGCTAGAGTAGCAGTACCAAGATCTCAGCTCACTGGAACCTCTGCCTCCTAGGTTCAGGCAATTTTCCTGCCTCAGCATCCCAAGTAACTGGTGTGCGTCATCACGCCAGGCTAATTTTTGAATCTTTAGTATAGAGATGGGGTTTTACCATCTTGGACAGGCTGGTCTCAAACTCCTGACCTCAAGTGATCCACCCACCCTGGCCTCCCAAAGTGCTAGCATTACAGGTGTGAGCCACCGGACCCAGCCTAAAAACTTTTATTAGAGTAAAAATTACAGAAGTTTGAAAGGCCTCTCACTCATGTGTGGCTTTGTGAGTTGGCCCTGTCCCAAGATGAAGCTGCAGGAGATGCGACCCTAGCACTTTCGTTCCCAGGGAGTAAGCGGTCAGGCTTGTTGGGGGTCTACGTGGCCTCCCAAGTTCTCCTAGAGAGCTGCAATCATGCCCTGTTTGCGCCTGACTTGATACAGCTTTGTTGTCTCCCAAGGTCTCAGTGCTGCCCAGACCCAGGGCGGATCTGCCTAATCTGGGACAGAAACCACCCCACTTGGCCTTTGAGTGGAAGGTGACAGAGAGCATCACTGGCAACACTGACCCCACACACCTTCAGAAGCATCATGGTGCCATCACTAGACACAGATCGTGGTGTTTTCAAGGCTCTCGGACTGACAGCACACTGCTGAGGAAGGGGAGGCCAAGACATTGGCAATTGCAGGGACTCCCTGGTTTGGGGGTCTTGTTTTTTTTTTTTTTTTTTTTTTTTTGAGAGGGAATTTCATTCCTGTTGCTTAGGCTGGAGTGCAATGGTGTGATCTCAGCTCACCGCAACCCCCGCCTCCCAGGTTCAAGCAATTCTCCTGCCTCAGCCTCCCAAGTAGCTGGGATTATAGGCATGTGCCACCATGCCCAGGTAATTTTGTATTTTTAGTAGAGACAGGGTTTCTCCATTGTTGGCCAGGCTTGTCTCGAACTCTTGACCTCAGGCGATCTGCCTGCCTAGGCCTCCCAAAGTACTGGGATTACAGACGTGAGCCACTGCACCCAGTGGTTTGGGGGTCTTATACAGGCATGACCTTTCCCAAGAACAAGGTCACTCCAGAGGCCCCCATGCAAGCAATGGGAGATTCCACCAACATGCAATCAGTTCAGTGAGAAATATATCATCAAGAAACCACTATTTCAAAACAAATGAATTCTAATCAAGCAAAATGGCAGGACAGTCGCAGCCTTTTCTGTCATTTTAGAATGAAAGTTATGCTTCTAGTAGGCCGGGCGCGGTGGCTCAGGCCTGTAATCCCAGCACTTTGGGAGGCCGAGGCGGGTGGATCACGAGGTCGAGAGATCGAGACCATCCTGGTCAACATGGTGAAACCCCGTCTCTACTAAAAATACAAAAAATTAGCTGGGCATGGTGGCACGTGCCTGTAATCCCAGCTACTCGGGAGGCTGAGGCAGGAGAATTGCCTGAACCCAGGAGGCGGAGGTCGCGGTGAGCCAAGATCGTGCCATTGCACTCCAGCCTGGGTAACAAGAGCGAAACTCCGTCTCAAAAAAAAAAAAAAAAGAAAGAAAGTTATGCTTC